TTATTGTCTTCGTGATAACGATATCTAATGGTAATCTTTGTTTGTCGTGTTTCAGTTTCTTTATTTTTAGACAAGAATTTTTAATTTTATATTTTACATATCTAATATTAATTATATATAAATTACTTTAGGCATTTTTATTTTTATTATTTCAAGAAGAAAGATGTTTTTATTTAGATCATGAGTAAGAATTGCGGTTTTTTTGTTGATAAGCTACCAGGAAGCTCGTCACTTCTGATTCCTCAGATTCGAGGTTTCCTCTTAAACTTTTTGCAATATTTTCGCTATCAGTAGGTGCGGTTAACACACCTATTGTTGATTCAGTCATTTCTCAAAATTGTTATCGAAGAAAAATATAAAAAAGAGTTTAAAAGTAAATCAAATCAAAAAGTATTTAATAATTTTTGTTATTCTTCAAAATAAGCAAGCTTTACAAAGTTACGTTTGTATTATTTTTTTAAAGAAAATCCCATTTTTCTTCTTTCAGAACATTTAAAGATTCTTCAGTATTTTTTCAAACAGTAGATAAATTATTTAAGAAAAGTAAAAATAGGATTTAATAACTAAAATTACAAAATTAAATAAGTTTGAATTAAAAAATAAGGGAGTAAGAAAATTTTTTTTATTGTAAAAAAGCGTGTTTGATTAAATTTATGTAAATATTTTATTGGTAGAAATTTTTAAAAGGAGTTATTAAAAAAATATCTTAAAAAGCACCCACGATTTTTTACAATAAAATTAATTTTTTGTTAATCACTCTACTCTTATTGCATGCCTTAAGCGCGAAGCGCGCAGGTATGCTCTACTCTCGCCTAAAAATCGTGATTTCGATTAAAACGTGATTTTCATAATTTAAACGAAAAAAATTATGGATAAAAAGCGTATTGAAATAAATAATAGTAACTATAGAACACATTTAAAAAAATTTCTTATCGATTAAATAACATTTCTCAGAAAAAACTCGTTTTTCTGATGAATTAAATGAATAAGAGCGTGGTATTCATGGGAGCTATGGGCTTGACAACACCACAACTTTGTCAAAAATCACTTTCATGATTTAATTTTTTTTTTTGTTTTATTCCTGAGGAAGTTTATCAAAACCCTTGTGAAAATTACGTGTCAAAATAATTCCGTTTCGATACAGTTAATTTTTTTCGATTGTCAGTCAGTTCGATGACTTTTTCTGCGATTTCGGCAGCCATATGTATTATTTTTCATAAACAGAATTGAAATAACTATAAACAAGCAGAAACTATACATACATGATGGTATAATTACTAACTGTTTTATCATCTGTTAAAATTTTTCTTTAGTTCGACCTACAGAGGGGATAATACTACTCGCGGGAAAATTCAAATTAAAAATTAATAATTTTTGTTATGATCTAAATATTTTATGTATGACATGAGCTAAGCGCTTAAGGCATGCTCATTTGGATTTTCCAAACTTTTTAAAACTTACTCAAAATAATTTTCTACTTTTTAGTTTGGTTTGCTATTAAACCGTATTTTTAACTTTTTTAAACTGTAATTTATTTCCAAGTTTTTTTAGTATAATTAAAAATCAAAAGCGTTAGATTGTAATATTTAACTTAATTAAAAGAAAATAAATATTTACTGTAATTTTATGAAAGGTGTATGTTTAACATGTTAAATTAGTCACTTTTTTATCCTGATGATCCTGGTGAGGACTCTAGAATAAAGTTATCAAAGTATTGTATTGTAATCGGTCCTTGATGCGTTTGCAAATTTAAAAATTAATCAGACGTCTTAAAGTCGGTAAAAATAACGTCGAAAGATTTAATTAAATAGATACATAGTTAGACTGATTAAAAAATAAAGTTGATTAAAAAGAAAAAATGTTGAACCAAGAAAACTAATTTTTAAGAGTTTGATCATGAATAAAAAATAAAAATTATTTAATCGAGTAAAATTAACTTAACTATTTTTTGTTAAAGAATTTTTCTGGTTGATTCAAGGCAAATTCTTAAGAATTACCTTTTTGGTTCAAAATTTCTTCTCTTTATTATCTATTTTTTTATCATGACCATGAAATTAACACTTGATAATTATCAGGATTGTTTTTAACAAATAAATTATGACAGAAAAAAAATTCCATGCAGAAATTGTTAAAAAGTGCAAATAATGAAGATTATTGAAGTTGAAAAATATAATATAAATGGCATTCACTAGTTTACAATGTAAATAGTAAAATTATTATCAGAATAAAATTCATTGTGATAAACTCTTATCTATGAATTTTATTTTTTTTCTTCATTTATTTCAACTTTTTTGAAGAATAATATTACATTGTTGAAGTGAGCAGTGAATACTTGTAGCGAGAATAATTAGGGAATTCATAAGGAAAATTATTTTATTATGTATATTAATAATGTGCGTTAAATGAAAAAAAAAAATGAATATGAATATGAATGTGAATATAAAAAAGGTTAGATCATAAAGCGTGTCGTTGTGCGATAAGGAAGTAGACTCATGACATTTTTTATAATGTCACGATATTAATCATTGGACTTTTATATTTCATTTGTTGAAACTTATTGTTTTATATCAATTTTATATATTTCTTTTATTTGTTAGTAATTGTTTCTAAAGATCATTTCATGCCTTCAATTGAAGAAGAAATTGAAAGAATTTTTAAGTTTAGTTAGATTTTGTTTAATTTTAGCATTTGATGTATCAAAATTTGATAAAATTATGACATGCAATGATGAAATAATTAATAGGTGACTAATTTCTTGATTATTTCTTTAATTACATGTGTAATTCCCGTTAAAAAAGGAAGATGATATTTTTTTCTGAATTTAAATTAAATAATAATAATAATAATAATAATAAGTAAAAATTTTGATATTTACACAAGGTGGTAAAAATTTGAGTCTTTATTTACAAAATTCCATTTTAAGGATTAAAAATGGATTAAAAAATTGATAAGGATTTTTTATAGAAAATTGAATCTTCTATCAGAAAGGTCTCTTATAAGTTTTTATATCTTTAATACTTTATAGCTACAACTTGCACTTAAAACTTTTGAAAACTATCACGGTAAAAAGAGAATTAAAAAAATTACATTATAAATAGTAATAAGTTTCTCGTCGTATTCAAAACTACACTGAAAAAAAAATTAACTTGATTCAAAAGAAAAATTTTTGAACCAATAATATAATTTTGAAAAGGGTAATTGTCTTGAATCAAGTAAAATTTCTTTAAATCAAGAAAAACTTTCTTAAATCAAGAATTTTTCTACTCAAATCAACAATATTAAGTTCTTCAAAATTATGTACTTGATTCAAGAACATTTTTTTTTCTGTGTAGAAAAATTTCAGTTCGAAATAACATTTTTCTCAATTCAAACTTTGAATGTTAATTTTCAGAACTTTTAATGTAAATATTACATTCTAAAATGTAATTCTTATAAAATTTGTAATAATAACAATCTAAAACCGTAATTTTTTAAGTTTTTTTTTTTCCGTATACGGAAAAATTCTATGACTTCATTTTCTGAATTAATATTGAAAATTTTTGCAAAAGGATGAGGTCAAAATTTTTAGGAACCTTCTTTATAGGAAATAAAATTCTCTATGAAAAAAATTTCATATAAATTTTTTTTATTTTCAATATTTGACTCAAAATTTTGAATTTTAATTTATACAGTCAAAAGTTTAAAAAAAAACTAATTTCTTTTTTATTATTAATTATTTTTCAATTTATAATTATAATTATAATGACAAAACTTAAAGAAATTGATTATTATTATTATTATTATTATTATTATTATTATTATTATTATTATTATTATTATTATTATTATTATTATTACTTAATTTTGAAAGCACAATATAATAATAATAATAATAATAATAATAATAATAATAATAATAATAATAATTTTTAAAAAAAGCGGGAAATTTAAAATTTAAAAAATCATTCGTACAAATTCCAAGTAAAGACCTTACATCATACCCAATACAATAATATCACCTTATATATAATCTTACCTCTCTATACACACTTACTACCCACACAACACACACTCTCATTAATACCACACCGATCAAATACAACATATATTAAAATAACAATAATAATATGAAACACAAACTAGAATCACACAAGTATAAGTAAAGAATACGGACAAGCGCTGACGGATAAGTGGAAATAGCTAGTGGTCGCCAGTCGTCTACCGCGTGAGCTTACGGTCAGACTTCACTATCACTAAAAATTACATTTACAGTAAAATACTTTTTAAACTCATTTTTACCTCATAAATATAATTAATAATTGTAACAATAATAAGAATAATATTATTCTTTTCATTAAGATTTTTCTAAAACTTGTGAAGAAATACACAAAAAGTGATAATTAATAAGGCAGTATAAAAGTTACTAAAATATACATTTTTTAATTAATATTAATTGAAAAAAAAATGATAAATTACAGTGTGTCTATTTATTAAATGGTGAATTAATTTGTTTGTGAATTTAATTGTAACTGACTGACATAATAGTCGCGGTTGCGTGATCAGGCGTGTTTTAGATGATTACGAGTCGCTGAGAGTACTCATTCATATGTACAATTATTATATCTATATATAAGTGGATTCGACATATGACATACATGTGCTTTATTTACATTAACAATACTTCTTAAATTTATTTAAAGAATTTTTTATTTTAATTTGAAGAAAATTACTCCGAAAAAAAAATTTTTTCTGTGTTAAGGATAAATTTTTTTCAGTGTGAAAAATAGCAATTTTTATAAAATAAACATTTTTATTGCGCGAACTATAATAAAGATTTTAACGGTGACAAATGGCGGCCGTTTTTTCATTTAACGCACGTGATTGCGGAGGATGTTTGTTTGTTGTTAGCAGTGAAGGTTTTAAATAATATTTGCACGAGGATTTTCCTTAATTATTACTTATAATGATTGGTAAGATTCTATAACTGTTACTTATTAGCTTATTAGTTATTATTAGTTATTATGAGAGCTTGTTTAGTCGGTAAGAAATTATGTATAGGATTAATTGTTGGTTGTTTGAATTTTTTGTTTGGAAATTAAAGATTCCGAGGACGGTTGCGCAATTTGTGATTGAAATCTGAGTTTTTATTCTGATTTAATTTTTTTTTTCTCTAATAGCTCACGCACTTTGTTTAATTTTTATTAAAAAAATATCTGATAATTATTAAATGTTAAATTGGTCATTATAAAAAAATAGATAATAAAGAGAAAAAATTTTGAACCAAAAAAGTAATTTTTAAGAATTTGCCTTGAATCAACCAGAAAAATTCTTTAACAAAAAATAGTTAAGTTAATTTTACTTGATTAAAGAATTTTTATTTTTTATTCATGATCAAACTCTTAAAAATTAGTTTTCTTGGTTCAACATTTTTTCTCTTTAATCAACTTTATTTTTTAATCAGTCTAACTATGTATCTATTTAATTTAATCTTTCGACGTTATTTTTACCGACTTTAAGACGTCTGATTAATTTTTAAATTTGCAAATGCATCAAGGACCGATTACAATACAATACTTTGATAATTTTATTCTAGAGTCCTCACCAGGATCATCAGGATAAAAAAGTGACTTATTTAACAGGTTAAACATACACCTTTCATAAAATTACAATAAATATTTATCTTCTTTTAATTAAGTTAAATATTACAATCTAACGCTTTTGGTTTTTAATTATACTAAAAAAACTTGGAAATGAATTACAGTTTAAAAAAGTTTAAAATACGGTTTAATAGCAAACCAAACTAAAAAGTAGAAAATAATTTTGAATAAGTTTTAAATAAGAATAGAGTCATTAACAAAAAATTAATTTTATTGTAAAAAATCGTGGGTGCTTTTTAAGATATTTTTTTTAATAATAAGAAAAAAATTGTGATTGGTAAAATTAAAAAAACAATGTATGTATCATTCTAATGGATTTAAGTGTTCTAGACCTTGAAATTAAGCAATTACTATAAGTATTACGTTATTTTTTTCATTTTTACACCTTGAAGAATAGTTGTTTATTTTTTTAACGCGCTTATGATACCATAAATTATTTTTTAAAACTTATTGAACCTTTATTTTATAGAAAATTAAAAATTAAAATAATTTTTATTTCAATTTACAAAATTTATCATCATTGTTATTATATTTATAAATTTTTTTTGATTAAATTTAAAATTTTTCAAAAATAAGCTTCAAATTTACCGCCAAAATTTTCATACATTTTTTTTAAATATTAAAAATTCTTTTCTTCATTATTTCAAATTGTTTGGTTAAATCGTCAATTAAAATTTTTAAAAAATATTTTCATAATAATTATTAAAACAAAACAATCAAAAATTATCGTTAAATTAAACCAAAAAAATATTCATAAAGATTTATTATCAAAATTTCTTTATTTTCTTTGAAAAAAAAAATGAAATTTTTTTTTCCTGTAGAAAATTTACTTCATTTTTACAAAAATTGTTAACCGCGCTTTAATTATTCAAATTTACATCCCCTAGCGGACTTATTTAGTACTAATAATCAATCTCACCATCTATCAAGATGGCCGTCACAAATTGAGCCGTATTTAAGCTTATTTCTTCAATTTCTCTAAATCTATTCGTCAAAAATAAATAAAATTTTACAGCGACCTGTATTTTGGTACAAAAAATCAAATATAAAAAAAATTAAAAGAATTTATTGCGTTTTTTACGAGATATTCGCATTATAAGATTAGTCAAGTGTCATTTTTAATAAAAAGACAAATTATTTTGAATTTAACCTAAAAAACAATAAATTATTTTTTAACTTAAAAAATAATTAAGAAAGAAGAAATCAATAAAAATTAATGTTTCAATTAATCATTACTAATAAAAAGACAAATAATTTTGAATTTAACCTAAAAAACAATAAATTATATTGAACTTAACCTAAAAAATAATGAAGAAGAAATAAATAAAATTAATGTTTCAATTAATCCCATAATAAAATTGAGATGAAATGTATGTGGCATCAAACTATTCGTAACGTGATTGGTCGAATATATCATAAGCATGAAAATATATGCAAACCCTATAGTTAGGCGCGCGCTTGCGCACGCAAAATTCAATTCTAGTCAGATTAAAAAGGATAATTAGAGTGTCACGACTTTCAATAATTAAAAAATTTCAATTTCATTGTTGTCTTAAATAAAAATATAGATTTTTAACTAGCGCCGGTGATAATATAATAATATACTTCTCCCCTAACCACCAGCGCAAACCACTAAAGATTAGCTATTAACTCATAAAACCATATAATATATAATACATAACACAATAATCCATTCAGAGAAAACATGATTGATTACATCAACCGGTAAACATTTCAAATGTCTAATACAGCGTAAGCGACAGAAATAAAAACGATATAACTCACAAAACGGAAATGAGTTATAAATAAAATGTTACCCTAAAATTAATTAGCCGGCTTATCAATATAAATTGTGAAAAAATTACGCCGGGACGGAGAAAGAAATATAAGAAAGAGAGAGAGTGAATGCCACGATAAATTTCACAACCATCCGATTAGTTTTGAGTGCACATGTACTTAACTTCTAGCTCTGTAACTGTAGTCCGTGTCTTGTAAAATTTCGTCTGACCTAAAAACCTACTAAAAAAGAAATTTACTATTACAATTATATTTTATCCATTTTTTCACAATTTGCAGGTACTTGTTTAATTGTTTGTTATATATTTTTATATTATTGCTTGATATAATATTTCTTCTGAAGATATTACATGCGCTGTTTCGTCATAATTGCTGGGTCTTTGTTGCAAAAATTAAATGGTTTTGCAAATAAACGTAAATTACATAAAGACGTGTGTATATATGTATATTGTTGTGTTTACATACTTTTTCATATCTATATTTGCTCTAAATGTAAATATAAGATTCTCGGAAGAATTTAATGTGTCCAGTAAAATGTTTATGATTAGTACTTAAAATAGATATGAGCGCATTACTTTCAATTTAGAATATCATTTTTTTATTTCAGTTTTGACATCAAGGTCATGTTTGGTATTTCTGATTTTTCTTTTTTGCAAGGTTATCAATTAATTTGTCTTAATTTTATTATTATATTTTTGAAAATCATTAATGATAAATGAAAAACGGGTAAAATTTTTAATTTCAAAATTTTGGGTCAAATATTTATCATATCAGTTTTTTTTTATAGAGAATTTGATTTCCTATAAAATAGATTTTCATAAATTTTACCTTATCTCTTCCTTTTATCAAAATTTTGGATTTAAAGTCCAAAATCAAAGTTATAGAATTTGTCCGTAGTTTTCAAAAGTTTAAAATGCTAATTTTGACTAAAATATTGAAGATGAAGAAAAATTTCAAAAGAAATTTATTATAGAGAATTTTATTTTCTAAAAAAAAAAAATCCTTATAAATTTTGGGCTTATTTCTTCCTTTCACCAAAATTGGATTTAAAGTCCAAAAATAAAGTTATAGAATTTGTCCGTAGTTTTCTAAAGTTTTAAGTGCAAGTTGTGGCTGAAGTTTCAATTTTTAATATTTTTTAACAATATAATTTTTTTTTTGATTAAAAAAAATGTTTTTTTAATTTTTCTTTAAAAAATTAATTTATATTAAGAGAATAAGCGAAAGTTTATGGCTAGTGTATTTTATATGATAAAATGGGATTTTATGGTTAAATTTGGTATCGTTGCAAAGGTCTTGACTTGAAAAAATTATACTGTATCTTGTGAACGATTGACATTTTTAAAGATATAAGCTCATCTTGAGGTTACATTCATCAAGACCTTTCATTTGAGTACCTACTTGAAATTTTGATATATTTTTCATATATACATATACATAATATATATAAATATATAAAATATATGAAAAATTGATGTGGGTACTCAAATGAAAGATCTCAATAAGTGTAACATCATGATCAGCTTATATCTTTAAAAATATCATAAGTTGACAAAATACAATATAATTTTTTAATTATTGACAATTTTAAAGATATAAGCTCATTATCATGTTACACTTATCCAGAGCTTTCATTTAAGTACCCACATCAATTTTTCATATATTTTATATATTTATATATATGTATATATGAAAAATATATCAAATATATTAAAAATTGATGTGGGTACTCAAATGAAAGGTCTCGATGAGTGTGACATCGGGATGAGCTTATATCTTTAATATTGTTTATATTTCACAAAATAAAAGGTCTTTTCTTAATTACGTATCTAGAGATAAAGCATTTTTGAATGCAGCCTAAATACTTATCATAATAAATTAACTATCGGTGAAAATGAAATAAAACCTTGAAAAGGTACAAATTAAAGTCAAGACCTTTGCAATGACACTAAATTTCACTAAAAAACAACTGATTTTATCATATGACTCTCCGGGAAACAAAATTTTTTTTATTCTCTTAATAATATAAATAATTTGATTACAGAAAAAGGTTTAGATCATGTAGCTGAAAGTATTCTGTCATATTTGGATGCTGAATCACTGTATGCCGCAGAACTTGTCTGTAAAGAATGGTACCGAGTAATAAGCGAAGGAATGCTATGGAAAAAACTTATCGAGCGTAAAGTAAGAACTGATTCTGTTTGGCGTGGATTAGCTGAAAGACGAGGCTGGTGAGTGTATTATAATTATAAATAACTTTTTATAAATTAATTTATCACGAGTAATATAATTAAACTTGAAATTGAATTTTTATTTTAATAGGATTCAACACTTGTTTAAACCAAGGCCTGGCGAAAGCTATAGAGATCACGCATTTTATCGAAATCTGTTTCCTAATATAGTCAAAGACATCGAGAGTATTGACAATAATTGGAGAATGGGAAGACATAAATTACAAAAAATAAATTGTCGTAGTGAAAATTCTAAAGGCGTATATTGTTTACAATATGATGATCAAAAAATAGTATCGGGTTTGCGCGATAATACTATCAAGATATGGGACAGAAATAATTTACAGTGTATTAAAGTTTTAACGGGGCACACTGGATCTGTTCTCTGTTTACAATATGACGACAAAGCTATTATATCTGGTTCTTCCGACAGCACTGTGAGAGTATGGGACGCAAATACTGGTGAAATGGTTAACACTTTAATTCATCACTGTGAGGCTGTATTGCATTTAAGATTTAATAATGGTATGATGGTTACCTGCTCAAAGGTCAGTAGTTTATTAATTTTTATACAATCTATACACAGAAAAAAAATTAACTTTAATCAAGTAGGTAATTTTGAAGGACTTTAGCAGAGTTTTTAACATTTTTTTTTTTAATTTCAGTAATCCCTTATTAAATATGTATCTTTAAGACAGTAAAAAGTTTGAATAAAATATTTCATTTTTTCTATTAGAAAAAAATTGTTGAAAATAGGACATTTTATACCGGAGGAAATTCATGTAACCCTTTAAGTAAATTTTACTTGATTCAAGACAATGAAACTTTTCAAAATTATTTTCTTGGTTTAAGAATTGTTCTCTTAATTCAAGTTAATTTTTTTTTTTTTTTTTTTCAGTGTACTGTTGATTTAATTTTTAAAATTTAAATGAATAATTTATAATTATTGGTTACTTTTAATTTACAGGATCGATCAATAGCCGTTTGGGACATGACATCACAAACAGAAATAGCATTACGCAGGGTACTGGTTGGTCATCGTGCTGCTGTTAATGTTGTAGATTTTGATGAAAAGTACATAGTGTCTGCAAGTGGTGATAGGACAATTAAAGTATGGAATACCTCGAGTTGTGAATTTGTGCGAACGTTGAATGGACATAAACGTGGAATTGCGTGTTTACAATATAGAGATCGCTTAGTGGTTAGTGGTAGCAGCGATAATACTATCAGATTGTGGGATGTTGAGTGCGGAGCATGTTTGCGTGTACTAGAAGGACACGAAGAATTAGTACGGTGTATTAGATTTGACAGGAAACACATTGTTAGTGGAGCTTATGACGGGTAATATTTTTTATATTATTATTCAATATAAAATACTACAGTACAACTTGGTTATAAGTTATATATATTTCTCTCTTCTACTTAAATAAAATATTTCATATATAGAGATATAACATCCGATGTAACTTATAACCAGGTTGGACTGTATTCTTGTTTTGTTTGAAGAAATTGTTATTTATCTTGATACATTTTTTTTGTTTTCTAGAAAAATTAAAGTCTGGGATCTAGTCGCCGCTCTTGATCCACGTGCTGTTGCTAGTACTCTTTGTTTACGTACATTAGTGGTAAATTTCTTTTCAATATATTTATATTTACTTAATTTAATATTGAAAAATTAATAATAATTGATGAAAATGAGTTTAGCAGACATTTGACAATTTTTATGAAAAGAATTTCTTTGAAAAATTTCAAATATAAAAAATTTGAAAAATTAAAAGTGCAATTTTTTAAAAATATTTTTTTAGTTTTAATTCAATTGAAAAAAAAAGTTGAAAAATTTTTAAGGGGACCTGGTGGTCTAGAAGCTTGGAATTACATGAGTTTTTAAATTTTATTTTTTATATCAAAATAACAACCAAAACTTTTGAAATTTTAAAGGACTATTTTATTGAAATTTAAGTATACAAATTGATTATTATGAAAAAAAATTATTCCAAGTAATTTAAAAAAATAACTTAAGTGGTGCACGATGTTTCAGCTATTCTATGGGTCTGAAATTGAAAAAAAAAAAAAAACGGATTTTTAACTATTAAAAATATACCTATCGCAGGAATTGAAATAAATTTTTTGGAAAAAATGGCACGTAGTTGAAATTTGTCAAAAAAAGAAAAAAAAAATTTCAAGTTTCTGCTGATTTCAGTATCATATTAAAGTCCAGTTTTTCAATCGTTATTATTATTGCCAGTATATTTATATATATAAAATCTATAGATATATTTTATCATTGAATAAAATTTTATCCTAGATTGAAAAACTGGCTCTAAATGTAATACTAATAATATATAGGTACATATGAAATACCTCACTCGTTGTATTTTTATATACTTGACATATCACCATATTAAATATAATTTTTTTTTTTATTCAACAGGAGCATACGGGACGTGTGTTCCGTTTACAATTTGATGAATTCCAAATCGTATCATCCTCACACGATGACACGATACTTATTTGGGATTTTCTTAATTGTAATGGCTCAGACGCTAATCCAGGTGGGTCTTCATTGAACAATACAACCGCTTCAAATAATCAGTCTGATACTAGATCTCCTTCTCGTATGTATAATTATATATTATGATATATTATGTAGTAACATAATTATAATATAAAATATATTATATATTATAATTATACAATCCAATCATTAATAAAAAATGAGTAATAAGGTAATTAAAAATAATTTTTCTAGCGTTCGAGTGACGTACAAAAACTGATCCAATCCATTATTGTGATACAATTGTAAGTTTAATTAAATTGTTGGTTGAAAAAAAAAACTTTCCAAGTATTTTTGTTGAAATTGTGCATTCATTTTTTTTTTTTTTTTTTTTTTTTTTTTTTCTAGATATGTGGTTAAAAAGTGAAGATGTGTTTGCGTTCGGGTTTGTGAAAGTTGGTAATTAAAAAACAAGAAAAAAAAAATTTCTAAATCGTGCCCAAGCAACAAACAAATTGTAACAATAGAAGTTATCAGCTGAGCTTACATAAAAATACGTGAGAATAAAATAATGGACTGAAGATTACCGGATTAATGGATTAAAAAAAAAAGTAATGACTCAAGCTGTTAAAATTAGCGCGTGCTAAACGCACAATATTTAGTAATAATTCTTTAATTAAAATATAAATAAATATAAAAACGAGCTAGTTTCATCCTATGGATGAAAATATTGTTGTCTGGAGACTCTTCAGCATCTTCAAACGCAATTGTCTGACGTATTATATATAAAAATTGGTCATTTTTTACTCATGACAACAATATTATTTTTATCGTCGTCGCCATCGCCATTTAAATTAACAGCAACAAAAAGACTTTTACTAAAATAAAATGAATGGGCAATTTAAATAACAAATCTCAATTTTTAAAAAGGTTGGATAATAATAATAAATTACTTTTAATTATTAACGTATTGTATTATAGTAAATTGCAGATTTTTTATGTAATTAATTTATAGCGTGAGAAAACAAATTGTAAAATGTCGGGTGTTCGGAGTACTTATTCTATGTAAATGAAATTTTAATTATTATATGACTGAATTGTGTGATTGTTCAAATGTCCAATTTTAGTCTTTTTTGTCATGTTTATTTACTAGAATTCAATGCTGGTCCGTTATATTTCTTTTTGCACGTAATATATTCCGGTTCCGCTGATATTCGCGTTATTAATACCAAAAGGGCGTAAAAAATTTTTTTAACACTCCAATTAATCTAAAAATGTTTATAATATTTTAGGTCTTTAAGAAAAGTAGATAAAAAAATTTTTTTGACTCTAAAAAAAATTCTAAAGCCAAAAGGGCGTATTATTTTTTTTTTAATAATTAATTATTAGCCTTAAAAAAATTGATGATTCTTCTACTCATTTTATTTAAAAATAATATGTATTTAATTAAAGAAGAAATTAAAATATCAATTTATCATTATCTTTTGCTTCTAAAAGTAAAAAATAATGAATATATATTGCTTTTATTTGATTTTGTTATTTTGATTTTTTTTTTTTTTAACTCAAATTGTTTTTACCGGTGTAATGACTTTTTTTATTAAGGCTAATAATTAATTATAATTAAAAAAAAATGATACGTTTTTTTAGCTTGAAAATTTTTTGTCTCATAGCCAAAAGGGCAAATGAAAAAAATTTTATTTATTTACTTTTTTACAAATTTAAATATTATAAACATTTATAGATTAATTGGAGTGAAAAAAAAAATTTTTATACGCCCTTTTGGCATTAGTAACGCGATATATTACATAATTTTTTTTTATTAATTATTTAAGGATTTAATTTCATATAATTATGGACGAATAAAAAATGTATAAAATAATATTTGTGCAGCATGTAACCATTGAAATAGTTTAATTTAATTTTTTTACAACAATTGACTTTAAATAAATTTTGTAATTACTGTAAATGCATGCAAAACTGTTTAAATTTACTGCTGTACAAATATTTATTACTAAATTAAATATAAAAAAAGTAATAAGGTTTTGTTAACCATGACAAATGGTAGTTAAGACTTCAAATTAATACTTTGAAGACATTTTTAATTATTGTCATTGTTAATTTTAGTACTAATAACATAACTATTATTAAATCAAGAATTATTCTATTAAAAGTTTCAAAAAAAAACATTCGTTCCTCATCAATTTTGAATATTTCGATTATAATTATTAAAAAAAAACTTGTGCAATTTTAATCCGGCTAAAAATTATAAACTACTGCCTTTATTTATTATACAACGGAAATAAACGAATAATCGTAATAAAAATTTTTAAATATAATTAGCAATAAGTTAATATGTACTCTTTGAAATATAATAATAGTAAAAATTTACAATTTATTTTTTTCATTTTTCAATTAAATTAAATTATTATGAAAAAAAATTTAATAAAAAGTTTTCATATGTGAAAATTAAAAAATGACATTTAATTAAAGTTAGCAGTCGTACGGGTAGAACAAGATGACACTGGATATCATTCCAGATTATACTCAGTAATATCTGTGGTGAAAAAAAAATTTCAGATAGTACTTAAAACAACTAGAAAATCAAACGCGCTTTGTGCGCTTCTGTTAAAATGTTTATTATTGACAATTTAATTGATCAATATTTTTACAAATTTTACTTTTGGTTTTACCCCGTTTTTCGAAAATCGAGTTCTCATCAGATCTTGACGTTTTGAGCAAAGAGTATTTAGCTCATCTCGATGTTACACTCATGAAGAGCTTTCATTTGAGTACCAACATGCATTTTTCATATATACATATCTATAATATATATAAATATATAAAATATATGAAAAGTTGATGTGGGTACTCAAATGAAAGGTCTCGATGAGTGTAACATCAGGATGAGCTTATATCTTTAAAATTGTCAATATTTCACAAGATACAAGGTCATTTCTTAATTATGTATCTAGAGATAATTTTCGAATGTAGCCTAAATACTTATAATGAATTGACTATCGGTGAGAATGAAATAAAATCTTGAAAAGGCACAAATTCAAATCAAGACCTTTATAATGACACTAAATTTCATTAAAAAAAAACCGATTTCATCATATGATTATCCTGGACACTAAATTTTTCTTATTCTCATAATAATATAGATAAGTTATTTTCTTAAATAAAATACACATTACATATATTTAAATAATATATATTTATTTAATACAAGTAATAGATATTTACATTTACAATATTAATTAACGCGTTTTTAAAAAAATTTTTTTTTTTTTAATTTTTCTCTGTATAATTATATTTTCCTCCTACTCTCAAACTGTATCAAATCAAAAAACCTAAATGCAAGTATGAATTTAAAAAAAAAAAAAGTTTCCATTAATAATCTTAAAAATTACAAAAATAACTCAATAACTTCTGCCAAAAAGCGTCCAGTACTGAGCTTGTATTCTACATTTAGGATGAATACATGGCAACTTGTTGACATCCTGTCCCTTGGGTTGTTCAAAGGGAATACAAAGTCGCTTAGCTCCCATGAGAGGAGCTCCAGCTTCCTCAGCTTCATCCCTGGCACTGTCCTTCTTAATATCATCCTCACACTCAATTCTTCCACAGAACGAGGCAAGGATCAAGTTCTTGTTATCCAAGTGCTCACAGAAGGCGTTCCAGTCCTGGCAGTGCTTCAGGTGATCATCCAGCTCCTTCTTGGCCTTGTCATACATGCTTCTCTGGACACTATCAAGCAAATCTTTGGCATACTTACAGACCTGTTCCTGTTTCACGAAGGATTTCTCCAGCGTATCACGTCTCACAATGGTCACCTGGGACTTTTCAAGATCTTTGAAGCTTATCTCGACTCTTAGTGGGACTCCCCTCAGCTCCCAGTGATTGAACTTCCACTCGGAACTGTAATTGTCTCTGTAGTCTCCTTCCACCAGCAGACCAGCATCTGCAAGTTCTTTTTCAAGCTTTACACACTCTGCCATCAGAGTCATGCGTTCTTCAGCAGTTGCCACAGTAATCTCGCAAGGAATGACAACAATCTGGACAGAGGCGACTTTCGGCGGGAGAACAAGTCCCTTGTCATCACCATGGATTATCACCATCACTCCAATTGTCCTGGCGTCGAGTCCCGAGGAGTTTTGGAAGAATGATGGCTCGTAGCTCCTTGAATAGCTCGTCCGCTAGCCGACACAAAAGCTTCAATCGTGGTGGTATAATCTCCACCAGTCAACTTTTCCTTTTCAGTCTTGCGACCTCGAACCACCGGAATCGCGAGATACTCTTCATAAATCCTAGCATACAGCTCCAGAATGGTCAAAACTTCCTCATCAGCTTCAGGCTTGGTCAAGAACGTTGAGTGACCTTCCTGCCAAAAAAACTCCGGAGTTCTCAAGAACTTTTGGGGGTATTTGAACCTCTAATGCACGACATTGTTCCACTGATTAAGCTTCAGAGGCAAGTCACGATAGGATTGGATCCATTTGGCGTAAGCGGGATACATCACTGTCTCAGAGGTCGGACGAAGGGCAGTTGGCTCAGCAAGGTCGGATCCGCCGAACTTGGTAATCCTCACAATTTCTGAAACAAAGTCACGCTCCAGTACGGCTTTGTTTTGAAAAAAAGCTAAGGGGTAATTGTGGAAACCTAATTTCTTTATCTCACTGTCAAAGAAGTCCTTTATCTTGTCGAACATCAAGTAACTCCTAGGCCGGAGGACGTAGCAGTCAGGCACATAATCGTAGTAGTCGATCATTTCTCCCTTGGTGATCACCTGGAAATACCAATCAGGCAAATTTTCAGCTTTTTTAGCCTCTAAACCCAACCTGGTACCAGTTTTGGTGCTATCTGCTTCCTTGAAAACTTTTGGAGCTTGTTTGCTTGCTTTAGGCGCTTCTGGAGCTTTCTTCTTGTTGTCCTCTATAGGAGGCTTCGACTTCTCGCCAGTGGCTGCCTTATTAAGTATCGACCAAATCTTTTCATCCTCATCAACAAACCCCTGGTCAGCTAAAGCTGATCTGAACATTTCAATTTTAGCACCCATCTCCATAATCAATTGCTTCAAATAATCGATTTCATCTATCGCTGATTTATTGATCTGCTAATCTCAGAATCTTGCGGCTTTAACTTAATTCTCGTCGCGATTTCGAAATCCTCTGTCAGAGCCTTCAAATTCCTGATCTTGTTACGCTTGCTCTTATTCACCAACAATATCGACTTTTCGTCAACTGTAGACTTAATTGCGATCTGTAAGTGAAAATAAATTAGTAAAAAATAATTAATAATAATTAAAAAAAATTTTTTATTTTCACTTTGTTAATAGGCAAATCTAAATTAAACTAAAATAATCTGAGTGTTTTAAATTTATTATATTATATATATATTATTTAATTTATGACACTGAAGTTAGCAGACGTCTAAAAATTTTTGATTTTTTTTTTTTAATTAAATTACAACTGAAAAGATATTTATAAAAAATTGCACTTATAGTTTTTCAAGTTTTTAACATGTGATATTTTTTTTTTTTAATTGTATAATTGAAATTTTTTCGATAAAAAATTTCTAAAAATTTTGAAATGTCACCTAACTTCATTTTCATTTTAATTTAACTTATTTGAATTTAAATCTACTCTCCCGCCTTAATCTACATGTATTTCCCAAGCGTCGGGTTGCAGTCAACTAGTCAGACTGACAACATTCCGAATTAATAAGTTACTAGAACTTAGTAAATAAATATTAAATGTAATTTAAAATAATTAATTTTACAAATTTTAAAATTCCAAAAAATATAGTCTTAAATAAAGAAAATACTAAAGCTATATTAATAGAATCTTTCAAAGTCACAAAGTCTCAATAAGTTAAAAAACATAACAACGAAAATTTGTACGTCAAAATGAATGAACAGACGAACACTCATTTAGCCGAAAAATGTATATAATTTTATATTTAGATTAAAAATTTTTTTAAATTAATTATTTTAATTAATTTTTTAAAATGAATTTTATTTTAATTTACAAGCATGCATATAAAATACTCAAATTTAATGCTAGTAAAGGTGGACCATCTAAGAAAAATTTCCAATTTCTTGGATGAGTAATTTTCGGCCAAATCATTATTCGGATGAATATACGTCGGAACAAACCTTTTTCGAAATCAAATTAATTTTAACTCTTGAGGAATATAAAACTTATATTTACTTATATTCGATAACTCGGTGTTTTATAATTTACAAAATTGTTTTTCGGCTGGTATTCTATTTAAGCTAATGTATTTTATAAACTTTGAATGCAGCGGAATTTTAAATTTTCTAGAGTTTTAATAATTCGGAATGTTGTCAATCTGACTGGTTGACCGCAACCCCAAGCGTCACACGGAAAAACTGTAGACTTTTTGGTAAATTATGTTTAACAAAAAGTCAAAAATTAATAATTGTCAACTTAACTTTAACAAAATATTACCAAAATAAATTATGAAAATTAAGTTAGCCGACATTTAAAAATTTTTAGAATTTTTTTTTATTGACAAAATTATTATAAAAAAATTAAAAAAAAAATGTCACTTGTAAAAAACTTCAAAAACTATTACAATCATATTACTCAGTCGATAAATTCTTCAATTTTATTTATTTTATGACCAGTTACAGATGTCTCTACTTTTCATTATTGCTTGCGTTACACTCTTTATCTATACTCGATTAATATTAATATAATTTAATTAAACTCTATTCAACAATTAAATAAATTGTAAAATTAATTTCATTAAAATTTTAATTTATTTGTTAGTTAAAATTATTTGTCAGTAAAAGCACAAGCAGTTTATATAACCTGTGCTCTTCCTATAGATTTTTTTACCTTTAAGCTTTAAGCAGCTACTATGGCGTCGCTTAGGCAGCGACCATGTTGTAGTTTCATTGACGGTCCCTTTATTTTTTCACGTTGTCGACGACGCGATTTTCGCAGATTTTAGGTATGTACTTCATATTCTCCGTTTACAAATGAAAAGACGTTGGCGATTGTCAATAATTAAAAACTCTACTATTTTAGATTTCCCTTAATAATCAAAAAATTCAAGCCAACTTTTTAATTTTGTTAGATAAATAAATAAATTATAAGATAATTATTGTTAAAAGGTCATTCAATCTGGCAACTAGCCATTAAGGAACAATTATGACCTCTCAATAAAATAATTGGAAACAAAATAAATTTCATCAAGAATATTTTTTTTCCTTCGATAATAATAATAATAATAATAATAATAATAATAATAATAAATTAAATTAATGATTTAGGAAAGTCATGCAATTATTTATTTTAATTTTTTTTCAGATCTTTCGCTCCATTATTGTAATTGTAAACATTTTTAAAGATGATGCCCACAATGCCTCCTGATGCCCATAAAATTTCATTAAAAATTATTGAAGCTATTAGACAGCACCCGGTACTTTATATATCAGATGTTAAAGGTACTGCTATAAAGTTGCAGGAATTCCGTCAAAAAGTTTGGAAGAGAATTTCTGATGAATTAGGGTTAGATGGTAGGTATATTTTATTTTTAATACTGAAATTAGCAAACATCTGAAAATTCTTTAAATTTTTTAAATCAGTCAATTATTGTAATAAAACAGTACTAAAAAAATTCTCTCTTCTGTGGAATTTTTTTTCTCTATGATTGAACTCTTATTTATTAAAATTTTAAAAATTGCTATATATTTATTTTTTATTATTTGAATATAATTCTATAGTTGAATAATTATTTTTTACAGCTAGTTGGGTTAGACTTCGATGGAAGAATTTACGTGATACTTATTGTCGTATATTAAAATTTAAAAATAAAGCTGAAAAAGGCGCTAGAAGAAAAAAATGGATTTTTGAAGATCATTTAAGTTTCCTAAAATTTCCGTAAGTGTTAATTAAATTTTTACTATTCATTTTTTAATTAATTAACTACCCCTGAATTTTAACAACTGTATTTTTTTAATTATTGATATTTTTGAAGATATAAGCTCATCCAAATGTTACACTCATCAAGAGCTTTCATTTGAGTACCCACATCAATTTTTCATATATTTATATATGTATATATGCAATATATATGAAAAATTGATGTGGGTACTCAAATGAAAGGTCTCGATAAGTATAACATCGGAATGAGCTTATATCTTCAAAAATGTTAATAGTTCACAAGATACAAGCTCATTTCTTAATTATTGACATTTTTAAAGATATAAGCTCATCCCGATGTTACACTCAACAAGACCTTTCATTTGAGTACCCACATCAATTTTTCATATATTTTTTATATATACATATATATAAAATACATAAATATATGAAAAATTGATGTGGGTACTCAAATGAAAGGTCTCGATGAGTGTAACATCGGGATGAGCTTGTATCTTTAAAAATGTCATTAGTTTACAAGATACAGGGTAATTTCTTAATTATGTATCTAGAGATAGTGAATTTTCGAATGCAGTCTAAATCCCTATCACAATAAATTTCTTATTAACTTAATTATATAGATAAGTAATAAATTAAATTACTGTTATTGTTTACTCACATTTTTAATTTTAATTTTTATTTTAATATAATTATAAACATTAATAAATTCTTTATCTTTATGTTTAGGTATGAACCAGATTATGTACCACAGTGCGTAGAATTAAGTGATGAATATATTGAAGAAATAAATCGCGGAGGAGTTGGTACAGAAAGTCTTTTAGAACAATTAGAAGATCGTAACGATGAAGACTACAGTGAATACTTAGAAGTACTGGAAGAAACAAACGCTGACCCAATCGCTATTCTGCCTCATAGCATTGAAATAATAGATAACAGTCAACAGCATTTAACTACAGATATGATGAATAGTTACGACAGCCAGAATGTTTCTGACGGAGTTAACATTTACACACAGATTCAATCTAAATATCGTAAAATACGCCCTAAAAGAATGAAGCTAAATGATTATGAAGAAACCAGAGAATCTATTGAACTTAATGATAATAACTATGGTATACTCAGTCCTAATTTTAAAATTGAACAGTTAAAATTACCTAAAGTTCACAACAATAACAACAACAATAATAATAGTAATAGTAATAGTAATGATAATCACAATGTTAATGTAAATCCTATTATAATAACAAATCCAACACCCCATACTACAAAAGTTCAGGAAAAAAAAGAAGAATATGTTGCAGAGGCTAAAAGCGAGCCAGTACAGGCACAACCTGTAGAAACAACGAGCACTGAATTATTTTTTAACAGTATGGCGCAAACTGTGAAATTATTACCACCCAAAGCACAAGCTGAAGTAAAAATGGCTGTTTGTAAAATAGTTACTGAAGCTGAGTTACGGTGTTCAAAAAAAAAATTATCTGCCAATACCCAACAATTTATTACGCCTCCGGGTATGATTCCAAAATTAGTATTAATTCCTTGCAGTATGATTGATAATCAAGAAAATAAATGAAAAAAAATTAAGTAATGTATCAAATTATTGTATAAAAGTTTTAAGAGCATAAATATAAATGTAATTATTCAGTTATTCTTATGTTTATTTTTATATTTATCATTAATGTATAGCGTTTAATGTTACTATTAGCAACCTTGCAGTCACTATGTGACTGCCGTGATTTGTGAACTATAAAAAAATAAAATTTTGCATTATTGAATAATGATTTTTGTTAAATTGCACTGTACTTTTTTAAGTATTGAAATTTATGAAAATACAAGCTCATCCCGATGTTACAATCAATAAGAGCTTTCATTTGAGTACCCACATGCATTTTTGATATATTTTTCATATATACATATATATAATATATAAAATATATGAAAAAATGATGTGGGTACTCAAATGAAAGGTCTCGATGAGTGTAATGTCGGAGTGAGCTTATGTCTTTAAAAATGTCACTAGTTCACAAGATACAATGTCAGTTCTTAATTATTGACATTTTTAAAGATATAAGCTCATCCTGGAGTTACACTCATTAAGAACTTTCATTTGAGTACCCACATGGCATTTTTCATATATTTTATATATATGGTATTTGTCAAATATTTAAATATATAAAATATATGAAAAATTGATGTAGGTACTCAAATGAAAGGTCTCGATAAGTGTAACATCGGGATGAGCTTATATTTTTAAAAATGTCAAAAGTTGACCAAATACAAGGTCAGTTTTGAAATATTGACATTTTTAAAGATATAAGCTCATCCCGATGTTACACTCATCAAGAGCTTTCACTTGTGAACTATTGATATTTTTAAAGATATAAGCTCATCCCGATGTTACACTCATCAAGAGCTTTCATTTGAGTACCCACATGCATTTTTGATATATTTTTCATATATACATATATATTAATATATGAAATATATGAAAAATTGATGTGGGTACTCAAATGAAAGGTCTCGACGAGTGTAGCATCGGGATGAGCTTATATCTTTAAAAATGTCAATAGTTCACGAGATACAAGGTCATTTCTTAATTAATCATCTAGGGATAGAGAATTTCCGAATGCAGCCTAAATACTTATTATCATAAATTGCCTATTGGTGAGAATTATATGAAACCTTGAAAAGGCACAAATTCAAGTCACGACCTTTCTTATGATACCAAATTTTATTATATAAATACACTGGCCACAAAATTTTGCTCATTCTCTTAATAATAAAGATAAGTTAGTTTATTAAATAAAAGACACATTACATATATTTAAATGATATATATATTTATTTAATACAAGTAAGAGATATTTACATTTACAATATTAAAACAACGTTAACTAGGTATTTGTTTAAATTTATATTTAAAACAATTGAAATTCATTTGGCAACTATGTTTTAATCTTTGTATAAATCAGAAAGCTTAATTATCTATTTTTTTTTATTATTAAAAGTCAGCTTCTACGTGGAAGACAAAGTAGAGCAGTTGAGATTCTATAACAAACATTACACCTACTAACTAAATTACAAATCACTACAATTATTATTTAATTAACAATCAAATATTTGTTTTATTAATTTTCGATGTTTCAAGAGATGTATTTAAGAAAAAAAATATTTTTTTTTTTCAAAGATAAAAATTCGTTGACTGATGTACATAAATTAATTATTGATAAATGATTTTTTAGATAATTAAACATTTTTTTATAATATTTAAAATCTATTTTATGTAAATTTTATTTACAAAAAATAAGCCTAATGATTTTATGCATGCTGGTAATCTCTTCATTTTAATTCAATTTTTTGTCAAATTCATGATCATATATATTTTTTTTTTTTTGTATATTTACATACTTTTTTTTTGGATGGTAAATACTCTATATATGTATAATAAGATTACTTATTCACAGCCTTATATTGAAATAATGTGTATGTATATATTTATATATTTTGTTTTAATAACTTTTTAGTACCGCATCATAACGATAAGCCTATATTCTATTTGTTGAAGACTTTAGAGTATTATATAAAATAAAATAAAATAAAATAAAATAAAATTAGTGATTGCAAAATATAAAATATAAAAAGTGGAGAATAAAATATGTGTATATAATCCCTAAAAGAGATATTTGTTTAAACAACTCAGATAATCTCAAGACTAGACATTTTTAAATAAAATATAATTAATAAAAACAAAAATATTTTCAACTTAAGATTAAGATGAGAGAGCTATTCCAAGTCGTGCTAATACCATTTCTTTTCTTAGTCTTGTGATTTCCCAAAAAATGTCATTAACTGTAATCAAACAATTGGATTTAATTTATTCAGTAACAATTGAATAAACTTGAAAGGGTAATTTTTTAGTTAAAAATAATTACCTGCACTTTTTACCAATCCACGTTCGATATATCTCAAGTAATTTAAAAAATCACAAACTGCTATTATCTGTAAAATATTTAAATAAAAACTTAATTATTAAAAAAAAAAAAATAAATTAATATTTTTTAATACTTACTCGATTTCGACAAAGTTGGGAAATAGAGTAATGAACATCTTGATCGCCTAATCGCATTCGATAAAGGCATTGTCTTGGTACTTCTAAGAGAGCGCATTTTCTAAAAATATAAAATGATGATTTTTTAGAAGAAATTAAACAGAAAATTAACCCTGTGAGGTAATACTGAAGCTTCTTACTACAACAAGGGTAACTGTTTTTTTTTATCAAGACAAAATTTCTCATAATTTGTCAATAAAAATTTATCAGACAAAAATATATCCTTTTTATAATTAACCCGGGCAAAAATTAATCTTTCAATAATTTCTATGTCAATAATAACTCATAGGTAACAATGATGATAATAATATTAATGATGATAATATCAATAATAATGATGCTGCTAGATAATAATAATGACTGGCAACCTGGCAGTCACTATGTGACTTACGTGACTTATGAACTATAAATAAATAAAATTTTGCTTTATTAAATAATGACTTTTGTTAAATTGCACTGTACTTTATTAACTATTGACATTTTTTAAGATATAAGCTCATTCCGATGTTACACTCATCAAGAGCTTTCATTTGAGTACCCACATGCATTTTGATATATTTTTCATATATACATATATATAATGTATATAAATATATGAAAAATTGATATGGGTACTCAAATGAAAGGTCTCGATGAGTGTAACATCGGGATGAGTTTATATCTTTAAAAATGTCAATGATTTACAAGATAGAAGGTCATTTATTAATTATTGACATTTTTAAAGATATAAGCTTATCCCGATGTTACACTTATCAAGAGCTTTCATTTGAGTACCCACATGCATTTTTTAAAATTTTTCATATATATTATATATATACATAAATATATAAAATATATAAAAAATTGATGTGGGTACTCAAATGAAAGGTCTTGATGAATGTAACTCCAGGATGAGCTTATATCGTTAAAAATATCATCAGTAGATAAAATACAACGTCGTTGCTTTATTATTTATATTTTTTAAAAATATAAGCTCATCCTGATGTTACACTCATTAAGAGCTTTCATTTGAGTACCCACATGCATTTTGATATATTTTTTATATATACATATATACAATATATATATTAATATATGAAAAATTGATGTGGGTACTCAAATGAAAGGTCTTGATGAGTGTGACATCTGAATGAGCTTATATCTTTAAAAATGTCAATATTTCACAAGATACAAGGTCATTTCTTAATAATGTCTTCTTAATATTTTTTGTCTAAGAAATTTTTGCATATTTATTCTTGACAAATAAAAAAAAAGCCACGCATCCGCCTACAAGTTACTAAAGTAATTTTAATATACAAAGTTAAGTAATAGATACCTTGGAAAAGAAAGTTTACTTTTATCACTGATAGCCTCAATGAAAATAATACCGTCTAAAACAGCCTGTCGAACTTTACTCCCAAGTTCTTCATTGGGAAAGCTAAGACAAAGTTCAATATCTTCGCGAAAAACTCTTGCAATAAAGACATCACTTTTATCAATACAGGGATTTTCTTTCCACCTTAAAAACTCAGAGTGTAAAATCGGATCTATTTCAACACCAAAATCTTTCCATTCTTTGTCTTTGTCCTTATCACGATCGCGATCACGATCTCTCTCGCGGAATTCTTTGTTGATGTCGCGATGATCGGTGATGTCTTTTTCAGACGCGTGGATTTCAATGGGAAGAGATGTTTTTTGTTCCTTAACCGGAGATTCAGGTGGAGAATTTTCTCTTCCATACTTAAGATTAAAGTGCGACGGTGATCGGCGATGTTTTTTAGTAAATAGTCCCAGTTGTAAGTCGTCTGAGCCACCTGATGATTTAGAGCGTATATCAATTTGCGGATGTAAGTGAGGATTTGGTTGTGCCGGTGTTGACGTCAGTACTAGAGTTTTTAATGCTGACACCTCAGCGGCTAGGACTTCATTCTTCATACGACTTTCTTCTAGCAGTCGTTCTGCTGTTGCTTGACGAGTATTTGCTTCTCGTACCATATTATGCGCTTCCTGTAATTAAACATAAATGAAATTCCTCGATAAATAATTATCTAACAAAAAAGAAGTAATAATACGTAATCTATATCATTAAGAGAATAAAAAAAATTTGTATCCAGGATAGTCATATGATAAAATCGGTTTTTTTAGTGAAATTTATTGTCATTAAAAAGGTCATGACTTAAATTTGTGCTTTTTCAAGGTTTCACATCATTCTCAGCGGTAGTCAATTTATTATGATAATTATTTAGGCTGCATTCGAAAATGCTCTATCTCTAGATACATAATTAAGAAATGACCCTGTATCTTGTGAACTATTGACATTTTTAAAGATATAAGCTCATCCCGATGTTACTCTCGTCAAGACCTTTCATTTGAGTACTCACATCAATTTTTCATATATTTTACATATTCATATTTATATTACATATATGTATATTTTAAAAATGTCAATAATTAAGAACTGACATTAATATCTTGTCAACTAATGATATTTTTAAAGATATAAGCTCACTCCGACATTACACTCATCAAGACCTTTCATTTGAGTACCTACATCAATTTTTTATATATTTCATATATTTATATATGTTATATATATCTATATATGAAAAATATATCAAAAATGCATGTGAGTACTCAAATGAAAGCTCTTGACGATTGTAACATCAAGATGAGCTTATATCTTTAAAAATGTCAATAATTAAGAAAGTACAGTGCAATTTAACAAAATTCATTATTTATTAAGGCAAAATTTTGTTTGTTTATAGTTCACAAGTCACGACAGTCACATAGTTACTGCAAGGTTGCTAGTCATATATTAATAAAAATTATTACTTGAAAAAGATTGGCAGTGAGCTCTTCAAGTTCAGTCTCGACATCTTGTCTGAAGCGTGACAATCGCGTGACTTCTTCATCTTTAAGCTTGAGTTCTTCATGTGCCCTCTTAAGCTCCTCTTGTAATTTAGTAATTGCGTGTTCTTTTACTTCTGCGACAGCTTTCTCCCACTGAAGAGTCGTTGGAGACGGAGGATCATCGACCGTCTTCATCAAATCACATTCTTTATTTCTACTCTCCTCTGAAGGTTGCTTTAAATTATTTATCAATTAGTAACGAATAATTACTTTAAATTTTGTAAATTAAAATAATGATACTTGACAATTTTTTTAATTTTTTCGAGAAAAATAAACTAGGTCTAGAAAATTGTTTTTAAAAAATTGCATTTATAATTTCTTAAATCTACTAAATGTGGAATTTTTTTGTCATAATTTTTTTAACAAGAAAAAAATTATAAAATTGTCTGTCTGTTAATTTCCTTTTTATAAAAAATAGATAATGATATTGTATTAACTCACCTCAGTTTTAGTTTCAGGTATTTCCGGGACAGAAACAGTACTGTTGGTTTTATTATCCATTCTCAAGTCCAAAGGCCTTGTGTGTTGTGGGAATTCTATCAATTCAGTCTCACTTTTACTCTGTTTTACGGTATTTATTTTTTCTAATGTCCTTAAAATATTGTTTTTATCATTTACAGAACTGTTACACACTTGTAAATTCTTATTGTTGCTACAAACTGGAGACATTTTGAATGAGCTGCTTTAGAAAAAAATTAAATACAGTTCATTTTAAGTTTCAATGGAATTAAAAAAAAAAATTCTCATACTTAAGGAATCATTCTGATTTGTAACTTAAAAAAAAACTTTATTTTTTTTTTTAAACATTTCTACAACTATTGTGTTAAAATTTCTAAGTGATCAATAATTAAGAACTGACATTCCTATCTTGTTAATTAATGATATTTTTAAAGAAATAAGCTCACCTTGACATTACACTCAACGAGACCTTTCATTTGAGTACCCACATCAATTTTTCATATATTTCATATATTTATATATATGTATCTATGAAAAATATATCAAAAATGCATGTGGGTACTCAAATGAAAGCTCTTGATGAGTGTAACATCACGATGAACTTATATCTTAAAAAATGTCAATAATTAAAAAATGACCTTGTATCTTGTCAACTAATGATATTTTTAACGATATAAACTCATCCTGCAGTTACAAGCATCAAGACCTTTCATTTGAGTACCCACATCAATTTTTCATATATTTCATATATTTATATATATTATATATATGTATCTATGAAAAATATATCAAAAATGCATGTGGGTACTCAAATGAAAGCTCTTGATGAGTGTAACATCAGGATGAGCTTATATTTTTAAAAATATCAATAGTTAAGAAAGTACAATGCAATTTAACAAAATTCATTATTTAATAAAGCAAAATTCTATTTGCTTATAGTTCAGAAGTAACAGTCACATAGTAACTGCAAGTTTGCCATTTAATATCAATATCTATAATAATTTCTCTGTAAAAAAATTATGAATATTTGGCTTTTTTTTTAAACATCGAATCAGAATGACTCCCTATAAGCACCAAAAAATATCACTAAAATAAGCCAAAGTTCAACAATTTTTCTTTTTTTTCAACAGTTAAATTACAAGTAAAAAAAATTACACTTATTCTTATTAAAATCTTCTTTTTTTAATAAAAAATTTTCAAACTTCGGCTAATTTAATTTTCACAAAAAAAATAAAGTTTAAAAATATACCTGTCCGGACTAAGTTGTCCCTCATCATCGTCAAATAAACTGGTAGGTTCGTTGTCATTGTCATTGTCATCAGCCTTTGAAGAGTATCCAAATAGATCCTCCAGAGGTGCTAATTGCCAGGAATGAGCAGGCGATAAACGAGCGAAAGCGCTTGGCCAAGTCTCACCAGGCCCATTCATCCCATCAGCACAATCAGCTGGACCAAAGCAGCATCAACTCATCACCTGTTGAAGAATCTAGCTCGGATAGCTACGGAGACTCCTCTAGGACTGTCACGCCTTCAATGTTCTCGCGAGAGTACGTTCAGCCCTCCGAAATCTTGTCTGATTTCCTTTTCGCTGATGATGAAGTTCCTGTTCCTGTTCCAGGAACTTCATCATCTGGAACTTCATCTGGAACTGGAACTGGACATCAGGAATCAGATTTTAAAAATAAATTTGTTGTAAAAAGCGAACAAGATTTAAATCACCTGCTGATTGGTAAAAATCAAGATTTTGATCATTTGCTTCCTGATGATCAAGATCTTTCTGATCAATTTATAGTTCCAGATCAAGATTTGGGTGATCAAGATGAATCTGATCAATTTAGGATGAAAAATAATCAAGATTTAAATCAGTTGATTAAAAAAAATCAAGATTTTAATCAGTTGGTTTTCAAAAATCAAGATTTGGAACCTGAATTTATTGTCCCGGATCAAGATTTACAAGATTATAATCGATTGATTAAAAATCAAGATTATAAATTAATTGGACAAAATTCAGATTTAAATTTGGTTGGAAAAAAACAAGATTTGAGTAGATTAAAAATTGAAAATGAAGATTTAAATATAAAAAATGAACCAGAATTAATGATTGATGATGAAGATAATTTTGATATTAATATGGAACAAGATTTAGATATGGAAAATGAAGATGATATTAATATTGATTTAAAATCTTTTGGTGAGGATGATTTAATTAAATTTGTGAATACATTTAATCCTAATTGGATGCATGATATGTTGATGGAAGAAGATGATGATAATGAGCATGAAGATGATGATGATAATGATAATGATGATGATGGTGATGATAGTAATAGTAATAGTAACAGTAACAGTGATAGTAATTACGAGCAAGAACCACCGCAATCTTTGTTCACAAGTTCTGTAAAGCGAGATTTTCCTTGGAAGAAATCAAATCTGAGAATAGAGAGTAAGATTAAGATTAAGATGAGCAAGAATGAAGAAGAATATTTACTATCAACTGTGAACAAATCTTGGCTGGACAAAATGTCGCCGAGAATAAGGAGACTGTACCGCAAGATGGCGGTGAGGAGAATAAAGCGCTTGGGAAATATGAGGCTTATTGATTGGGACAATGATAGGGAAGAAAAGGTCGATAAGAAAGAGGGCAGGGTTATTGATAGGTTTAGAACGGACTTTCTTACTGCGAGAAGTGAGCAAAGGTTGATGGGTTACTGTGAACATGGAGAAATTTGTAGTCCTTATACTCAGAGGAAGTTGAAACCGTTTATTAGGAGGGATGAAAATTGTCAGCCATTGTGGCTCAAGGTTATGGCGGAGATGGATGCTAAGGTTAATGGGAAGAAAGAGAACTGGAAACCTAGGGCAAGAAGCACGGTTGACTTTTCTTATGTCAGGCCTCAGCATATTCCCGGGATCAATAGCTTGGCGTGTCAGTTCTTCTGGCCGGGGATTGATTGTAAGATTTTTAATTTTTGTTATTAAGAGAATGAGAAAAATTTTGTTTATAGGATAGTCGTATAAAATCAGTTTATTTAGTGAAATGTAGTGTCATTACAAAGGTCTTGACTAGGGTCATGACTAGGGTGTGCGAATATTCGAGTTTACGAATTATTCGCCTCGAATTCGAATAGTTCGAATAGTCCGAATCGTTCAAATAATTCAAACAGCCGTTTTCTGTTGATTAACTGAATAATTTTTGTATAAAAATTAATTCGTTTTATTTTATTTGACTAAATGAAGTCTTCATGATTATTTGATAGTAAAGTCTGCTTATTATTCGTAATAAATATCTCTTGGTGTATTCGGAGCTCACCCCAACATTACACTAATCGAGACCTTTTATTTAAGTACCCACATGAATTTTTCATATATCTTATATATATGATATTTATAAAATATAGGAAAAGTGCATGTGGGTACTCAAGGTCAACAACAATTTATAAGTAAAAAAATCTATTAAATAAACAGTTTTCTGTGGACTGAATTAGGAATCTAAACCATTCTGGAATCCACCGGAAGACACACGAAAAATTTCATTAGAATCGGTCCAGCCGTTTGGGAGGAGTTCAGTGACAAACACACGCACAGAAGAAATACATAAAGATATAAAAAATATGAAAAAATTCGTGTGCGTAGTCAAATGAAAGGTCTTGACTAGCTTAACTTTAGAATGAGCTGACATGATGATATTTTTAATTATGTAAGCTCATCTTGATGTTACACTTATCGAGACTCTTCATTCGAATACCTTGACTAATTTTTTATATATTTCACAAATATGATAAATATTATATCTATAAAATCTTTTATTTAAAAGCTTATGCGACGTTTTAATTGTTGTCGCTTTTCATTGCGACCTTTAAAGTCTTTCAATGTCTGAACCATCGTGTCGTAGATCTCATTTAAAAGAAAATTGAATTAATTCGGAAAAATGTCAAAATGGCGAGGTGCCTCGAAGTAGGGGGTCCGAGTACACCAAGAAGTATTTATGACAAATATAATAAGCAGATTTTACTATCAAATAATTATGAAGACTCCATTTAGTCAAATAAAATAAAACGAATTAATTTTTACACCAGAATTAGTTAATTTATCGACAGACAACGACTGTTTGAATTATTTGAAATATTCGAATTATTCGAACTATTCGAATATTCGATTCGAACACTATTCGCACACCCCTAGTCTTGACTTGAATTTGTGCCTTTTCAAGGTTTCATTTCATTTTCACCGATAGTCAATTTATTATAAATATTTAGGCTGCATTTGAAAAAATCTCTAGATACATAATTAAGAAATGACCTTTTATCTTGTGAAATATTGATATTTTTAAAGATATAAGCTCATCCGGATGTTATACTCACTGAGACCTTTCATTTGAGTACCCACATCAAATTTTCATATATTTATATATATCATATATATATGTATATATGAAAAATATATCAAAATGCATGTGGGTATTCAAATGAAAACGCTTGATGAGTGTAACATCGGGATGAGCTTATATCTTAAAAAATGTCAATGGTTAAGAAAGTACAGTGCAATTTAACAAAAGTCATTAATTAATAAAGACCTCGTATCTCGTGAACTATTGACATTTTCAAAGATATAAGCTCATCCCGATGTTACGCTCATCAAGACCTTTCATTTGAGTACCCACATCAGTTTTTCATATATTTTATATATTTATATATTTAACAAATACCATATATATGAAATATATAAAAAATAGCATGTGGGTACTTAAATGAAAGGTCTCGATGAGTATAACATCGGAGTGAGCTTATATCTTTAAAAATGTCAATAATTAAGAAATGACCTTGTATTTCGTGAAATATTGACATTTTTAAAGATATAAGCTCACCCCGACATTACACTCATCGAGACCTTTCATTTGAGTACCCACATCAATTTTTTATATATTTTATATATGTTTTATTTATATGTATATATGAAAAATATATCAAAAATGCATGTAGGGGAACTCAAATGAAAGCTCTGGATGAGTATAACATTAGGATGAGCTTATATCTTTAAAAATATCAATATTTAAAAAAGTACAGTGCAATTTAGTGCACTATATTTTTCTTTTAAACTCATTGAAAATTATTTTCTATCTTTTAGTTTGGTTTTTTATTAAAATAAATTTATTTATTTTTTTATTAATTGAATATGTTATTAATAAAAATAATTTTTATTTTAGTGACTGAGTGTCTGCAGTATCCAGATTTCACCTGCGTAGTCCTCTACAAGAAGCTAATAATTGGCTTCGGAATCCTAGTCCCAGACATCGGCTTCGAGGAGTCTTACATTTCTTTTTTCCTGATTCGACCCGAGTGGAGAAATGCAGGAATCGGGACTTTTATGCTCTATCACTTGATACAGACCTCCATGGGCAAGGACGTTACGCTTCACGTATCAGCGACGAATCCTGCGCTGATCTTGTATCAAAAATTCGGATTCAAGATCGAACAATTCGTCCAGGATTTCTACGATAAATACATGACCACCGGGGCTAAGGAATCGAGACATGCTTTATTTTTAAGGCTTAGTCGTTAATTTTTAATAAAATTATCAATTTTCTTAAGAAAGTCTTATTTATTTAAATTTTAAAATTGAAATTTTATTTGATTTAAAAAAAAATATTTTTTAATATTATCCACAAATTTTTTTTTAATATTATTAACGAAATTATTAATGAAATTGTTAAGTAAAGTTTTTTTTTTTTTTTTTTAATTCAAGTACCTGAATTCAAAGTTAACATATTACTAAATAAAAAAATTAGGATATAAATAAAGTTAACTATAATTTTTTATAGATATGAGTTTTATTTGTATCACACACATGTGTTTTACAAAGCTTTGATATATTATAATTTAAATATTAAAATATTAAATATTAAATAATTATTTTTAGGTACAAATAGAAATTTATATAATTTTTTATATTTACCCAGTGCAGTTTTGATTTTGATTATTTTCTTTATATTTTTTATAATATAACAAATTTATAGAGGCCGGCATTGGCTCGGTCGGCTCGGTGCTCGCTTTTCGAAAGGAAGGGGAAGTGGGACCCGGGTTCGATCCCAGCACGCACCACTATTTTTCAGTTATTATAACATAAAAATATGTGCGTTACATGTTACATTGCCTGCCTCTGTAAGTGGCAGAGATAGCCGGGCGGCACACGTCTGACTTGGGCGATCGCTCAGTTAAGCTACAACTTAACTGAGTGACCACTCTAGTCAGCGAGTCAGCGTTGGCTAGCCCGAGGGATCTCTGTACACTAGGAGTAGGACCTAATGCTCCAGTGGTCGATAAAGAAGAGTTCTTTATCAATCACTGTAGACTTAGCCCAACTCCGACTGTACTATCCCTGATAACCACAGTTTCAGACCAACCAAGTTGGTGTCAGATAGTTGCCACCAACTTACCGACAACTTGCGGTCAACTTCCGAATTTGAAACTGTTGGCTACAAGTTTCTGAGAAAAACAAGACCAATCTACTGCCGCAATATGTCGCCAAATTTCTCGAGAATCTTGTCGTCAGCTTGGTGCGAAAGAGTTTCGAAAACAATTTTTGCCGACAACTTGGTGAACAACCGAGTTCATTTCCAAGACTTGACGCCAACTTGGTGACAAGTTGCGACCGGTTTGGCTATTAGGGATCATGGGTTTTCTCTGTGGTTTCCCCATGGTTCTGTTCCAAGCCTGAAAAAGGTAAGGTTCAGGGTGAATACGGTACAGAAAGCACAAGTCGTAGCTCCCGCGCGAATAAGAGGTGGAACGGCCCCACGAACGAACCTTCAAGTGCAGATAACCAAAGCGAATCATTAATGTTGAGAAAGGCTTGGGGTTGGGGTGTAAAGGGGCATAAGAAGCCTATACACTAGCAACAAAATATAAAAAAAAAAAATATAACAAATTTATTTAAAAAAAGAGATCTATAAGTATGACAAGTTCTAACAGAAATATATATTTCAATTATTTCATTAATTGTTTACTTAAATCATTGTTAAGATTTATATTACTTATTCTTAATATAAGAGAAATAACTATCATTGTTTATACTAAATCTACAGTTTACATGTTATGTTGATGAAAAAAAGTTTTTAATAAATTTATAAAACCATTTTTTATCGATAAATTATCGATATTACCCATTGGGTCGTTTAATATTTCTTCCAATAAAATATTTCTCATAAAATTATCCATTTACAACTATTTACAGGAATTAAATTTTATTGCTAAATTTAGTACTGTCAATTATATTCAGTCGATGAGGTTATACGTACGGGATATAACGTAAACCGGTGTTTTATGTTATGATAAGCCAGTAAGCCAGAGCTCAAATCCGAATGAACTGCTGGATTTCTTCTTAAAAAGCGTCTTGTCTACTCTTGACACTGTATGCACCGTTGCTTACGAGAAAGACTTCCAGACCGAGTAATCCTTGGTTCACTCGTGAATTAAAATTAAAGTGCAAAGAACGAGATAAACTTTACAAACTTGCCAAAAAATATCGAGATCAAAATCTGCTTGCTCGTTACCGTCTGATTAGGAAAGCACTAAAGATTCAGCTAAATTCTGCACGTGAAGATTATTTAAAAACAGCATTATTGAGTAATTCACCTGGATCTTCAGTTTGGAGCAAACTTAAGCACCTTGGACTAACTAATTCGAACTCTTCGTCTCCGTTGAATTTCTTTGATCCTTTGGAGCTAAATGAGTTTTATGCAAATATCGTCAGAAGGCATCCATCTTGTGAAAATGAATTTTTGGCGTCACTTCACCTGGAATCTACCCGACAAGTTGAATGCTCGTTCAATTGGTCCGAGATTGACATTGTTGATGTCACAAAAGCGGTACAATTGACACTAGCTAAATCCAAAGGAAAAAGTCCTGATGGACTAGATTTGAGATGGCTGAAAGATCATTTGCCACAAGTAACACACTTTTCCTTACTGCTTTATTCAACAGATCTCTTGATACCGCTGTATTCCCAGACATTTGGAAAGTTATTTATATAATACCTTTAAATAAAGTTACACCGCCTAGATCTCTGTCAGACACTCGGCCGGTAGCTAACTTATCTCATCTGGCAAAAGTATTTGAAAGAATTATTGCAAATCAAGTGACAACTTATTTAGAAGAAAATGAACTTCTGGATCCCTTTCAGTCCGGTTTTCGAAGGCACTATAGCACTCAGTCAGCCTTGCTAAGGCTTACTGATGACATTAGACAAGCTATGGACAAAAATCAATTAACTCTGCTGGTCTTGTTTGACTCGGGTAAGGCATTTGACTATCTTGATCCGAAAACTATACTAACAGCTCTTTATGAACTTGGTTTCTCATCGGATACGATTGCATGGTTCCTTTCATATCTATCAAACCGGTCTCAGTCCATTCTTAATGACCATGGAACACCGATTCAGCTTCTTACAACATCATCAGGGGTGCCCCAGGGTTCAGTACTTGGTCCGATTTTATTCTTAATTGTAATAAATTCAGTGGTGAGGTGGCTAACTTACTGCAAGCATGGGCTATTTACAGATGATACTTACATCTATCAACATTTCTTTATTTACCAGTTTGAGGAAGCTGTTAGACAAGTAAATTTAGATGCTCAATCGATTGCAAATTGGGCGAATGCCCATGAATTGGAGTTAAATTTGTCGAAAACGAAGGCAATGATCCTCGGCTCAAATGGTAGGTTAAGACAATTGCAAGAATTTGATTTTCCACCAGTCAAAATAAATGGCGTTGTTATACCATACACAGACTCTGCTAAGTGCCTAGGAGTCTACATAGATAGAAGCTTGTCTTGGAATACTCATGTCTCTCAAGTTGTTCGCAAAGTAAACTCAGCTCTACATTGTTTGAAAGTGCGTAAAAATATCTTCACAAAGGAACTTAGAAAGGTATTAGTCACTGCTACTATTCTACCACTTGTGGATTATTGTTCTGCAGTCCTAGTGGATGCGACAGCTGAGAATGACAGGAAGCTGCAACGTGCATTAAATGCCTCGATAGTAGGTTTTATATTTGATCTCAGACGAGATGTACATATCAGTCCATATCGTAAAGACCTGAGCTGGTTATCATTCAAATACCGTAGAATGTACTTCATGACCTGCCTCTTGTATAAGTTGCTTAGTGTTGGCAAGCCAAACTATCTACGGAACTTGTTTGTTGAAGAAGCAGATGTAAGACGCTCGGATAGGCTAGCAGCTAAGAAGCACACTTCTTTTGAATTACCGCGCTTTACGACGACTTATCTGGAACACTCATTTTTGGTGACTGTGATAAGAGTATGGGAAGAATTACCTAGTGATATTGTTAACTCAAATAGTCTTGAAGTATTTAAAAACAAAGTTTTTGGATATTTTCTACAGTTAGACTTTTAAACTGATTATTAAGTTTATAAATTGTTTTAGTGAAGCTGAGTAAATTGTTAAATCGAAAACCATAAATTATAAATTATGATCGCTATGTATTTTTGTATTATTATGTAATATTTTATAGTTACCATTTGGCCTGTGCCTTGGCATTAATAAATCTAAATCTTAAATCTTAAGTCTGTCCTGGCCGAAAAGCGCTATAGTCAGCTTGTAAGATTTTAATTTTTTTATGCTAACTGGCTTACTAAGTTTAATAAGTACTTATTTCGGCCAAACACGCCCAATAAATAATTCTCATAGTGAAGATAGAGGTAATGATTTTCCATGTGAAGAAACCGATGATAACCCTGAGCCCGCTAGTAAAAAAAGGAAGATTGACTCTCATGAAGTTAATGTTAATGATGATAACCCTATTCAATCGACATCTAGAACAACGGATGATGTTCCTAGTATGTCTGAAATTGATTTTGAAATAAGTAGTCATAGAATTGAAATAACTGAAATAGTCATAATTTACCGAGTCCTCTAAACTTTTCCGACATAAATATAAAAAATATAAATATAAGCATGAACATTAACAAAAAATTACATAAATTGTAAAGAAAAGAATAGGAGTATGTACAATTAGGATGTGAAAAAATTATTTGGGAAACTTTTGTAGGTCATTGCGGTACAGAAAAGCAAGTTAGTTGACGTCGTAGTCCGACATGTCGTGATGATTCCAATAATCGGAACGTAAATCGTTAAGAAATGGGCAGCGTGCTATGAAGTGCAGTACAGATTCGTTTTCTTGGAGTTGGCAAAAAGAGCAAAGCCGAGTAGGAGTCAGCTTTATACTATCTGGTCCGATAGAGAGAGTGCAGGAGTAATTATTAGCTAGCCTCATCTGTACTAATGTTTTAATGAGATGATGAGGGACAGAATTGAAGTTGCGAAACGTGTGGTAGATAGGATTAGGCAATACAAATTGGCACACTGAGGATTGAGCGTATCTGCTTTTGTCTATGTCTTTTAAGTAGTTTGAGTACTTTTGTTTATTGCATTGGTAGCGTGAGCCTTCCAGGTCTGGACATCCAAGCTGTCAAGAAGGTGGTCCTCATTGACTTTAACGAGAATATCCTTCAGCTGCTGAACCCGATTATGCTTACTCGAGTTGAACGAGGTGGACGTAAGAGAGCGAGCGCGAAGGCGGAGAAAACACAGTTTGAGTAATCTGGTGCTGCTCATTTCCAAGATTTTGGTCACCCAAGCAAGAGCTTGTCTCAAGATGTTGACAGCTACATGGGGAATTTTAAGTTCTGTCCTTATTGCGTAACCGGGGGTACACGAAGGGGAGGCAGAAAAGTCTCTTGTAGAAGTCCATCTGGGCAGATTCAAGTTTATCAATGTTTTTTTGACTTAGGCACCAAATATGGGCAAGATAGAGAAGCATACTTTTCGAGAGACAGTTGTAGACGTGTGTTTTCCCTTTCCAAGAATTGGCTTTGAGCCTGGAGAGGATGTTCAACACTGCTCCGGATGCCAATTTACTCTTTTTAACGGCTGAAAGAGCAGCAGCATCACCTTGCAACGAGGCAGTAAAATAGACACCCAGATATTCGAAGGATTTCACAACTTCTATTGATTCTTCTTTATATTTGAAGGTATCTTTGGAATTAATTCGGCCACTGGAGCTGGATTTTAGAATCTTCGTTTTATCAGTGTTGACAGTAAGGTCGTTTAAGTCACAGTACCGTTCAAGAAACTTGAGAATCCTGCGGAGCATGACCGGGGTCCTTGCGAGTAGAACCAGGTCATCAGCATATTTTAAGCATAAGAGTGAGGTACATGGACCAAGAGAAAGGCCTTCAGCACCACAATTAGTGAGGAAAGTGTTGAGATCAGAGATGTATAACACGAATAAAATCGGACTTAATGTTTCCCCTTGCAACACACCACTGGTGATGTCGATTGGTTTGGAAAGTTCGCCATTTACTCTGACCTGCATGCACGTGACGTCATAAAGAGCCTTGATGACATTCAACAGTTTAGGGCTAAGGCCCAAAGAGTAAAGCTTGGACCACAGTTTGTCGTGAGGCACCGAGTCGAAGGCGCGCCTGAGGTCGACGAATAAAGAATATGCTGCCGAGCCTTGAAGTCTAATTGCAATCTGTAGAGTAGCTAGAAGATTGAAGACGTTATCCCCACAGCCGCGTCCAGATCGGAAACCAGCTTGTTCCTCGGGTATGATGCTTAGATTCTCTGCCCATGTAATCGCTACCATAAAAAAAGCTATTCATAACGGAAAAAATAAAGGCAACCAAAGTTGAAATGTATTCGTTGAGACAATGCAAACTGTCCTTTTCTTCTCAGCCTTCAACTGACTGTCTGAAAATCCTCGTTACCGACACTGCGTTAATTTCCTTAATTTTTGGCGGTAGAGTCTCAAAAAAGAGTAAGGGAAAACGGCCCAGGCGACAACACCGAAAATATTGGTCAGACTTCGATCCAACCCCAAACTAGTAATCACGCTAATTTTATAACTCTCTATCCTACTCTTTATTAATTATTAATTAAGTAAATTATAACGTTATATATATATTCTAAAAAATTTATTATGAATTAATTTAAATTCTACTATTATAATTAATTTTTTAAGCATTCATTGCATTTGAGAAATGATAAACAAATCATTAGTGTGTGAAATAAAATAGTTATTTTGTTGTTAATTGTGTATCATCATTGTTATCAATCTACCTACTTATTAAAATTACTTCACCTACGCATTCTTTGAGGGACGAGCATTATCAAGGAGTAGCCTGTTGCCTCACGGGCTGCTGTATTAACCAGGACCTTGTAAAGCTGTTATCGCTATATATTGTAAGTAATCAAAGAATATTTGCTGGCATACGTGAGACTTCCTATCAGACTACATACTCCTTCTACGACATTCTATTCACTCTAAATGTCCAGAAACTAAATACGTCATCCGTAAGGAAGCGGATTTCCGAGGGCTGGTGGTCCTAATAAATAAATTTAGAGAATCAATTGACTAAATTCGTATCCGCAAGGTTTTAGTGAATTGATAAATGAATTTTTTTTTTTGTAAAGAAAAATTCTTACATCTCATCGTATTTTCAAAAAATATTAACTATAACTAATGATTTTCAAAAGAATGTAGCTTCTCGGCGCAATGATAATTCTGCTAATGCAACTGAAACACACAAAAGTACACAGAGTGGTGCAACTGATGCGGTAGGTTTCATTTTAGCGTTACAAGAACAATTTGATGACTTATCTGAAAATGTTAACCATGAATATAATATTGATATGGTGGCTAGCATCACCGACAAAGAATTAATTATAGCAGCTGATAACGTGGAATTTAATTTAGCGGTACAAAAAAATCTGATGACTTACCTGAAAACATTGTCCATGAACGTACTATTGATGTGGTGGCTGACATAACAGATGAGGAATTGATTGCAAAAGCTGATAAAATGGAGCTTAACCCAAAATTACACGAAAAACTTCAAAATTTAGTATCAAAACAAGTATTCTTAAATTTTTTACTCCTACCTGAAAAAAAAAAAAAACACTCATCCACATTTTCATAAAACTTTTGATTTTTATAAAATATATATTTATTATTATTATTATTATTATTGTCATCAGGTAAATTCTCTGCTTCATTATTTTCACACACATATCTTAAAGTTAAACAATTAAATTAATAATTATAAAAATGCAATAATACAACAATAAATGCAAAATGATTCTTCTAAAACTCATTTATTTTATTATCAAAAAAGTATCAGATTTAATAAAAAGTGGGGATATCAGCCTTGTAAAAACCAGATAACAGTATACAAGTAAAACTCAAAATAATAATAATAATAATACAAAATTATTACAAGCATATAGATATTGAAAGTACAACTAAAAATTTCAAAATGTACTGAAAAAACAATGATAAAAAAAATTAAATGACAAATAATGAAACTTATCTTCCGCTTACTTATTTTCCACCAATTTACTTAATTCAATGATACTAAAATAAAAAAACATTTCATGAATAAAAGTAGCAGGAAGATATCTAGAAAAAATTTTATAGAGAACATCTTCAACTTGATTGAACAATATTCTTCGTTGACCAGCTTTTTGTAAGCGATATTTAATCATTCCTGCGTACAAAGGAAACTTAGCCGCCATTACGCCGTCAAACTTATCTTCATCTCCATCCTTGTACCTCAGCGCCAGTTTGTGATAAGATTTGTGCAGTATATCAAACAAGGAAAATCCAGCTATTGTTCCATAAGTATTCTTCATAACTTCAACTTCTGTTTCACATTTAACTTTAAATATACTTACATTTCTTCCTGAATCAGTTATTCTATTCTCAATACAGACGTAAAGGCCAGCCACCATCAACTTCATAAGATGCTTTACTAGAACAGAAAGGCACTTGCGTTCCATTGAATAGGTATTAATCGGTAGTCTACGATGCTTTCTCTGAATATTAACATCACAACCTGCATTCAGAAGATCTTGAAGATTGCAGCGAAATCTTTCAATGTAGTTAAAAGTATAAATGTTATCCAAAACCCCTGAAAAATGAAGACAAAATGTCTTGTCATTAGCCAGAGAATTTACTTCTATCAAAGGTTGACTCAGCAAAAACTTGATACTTGCTGAGTTATTGTTTTTTACAGCTTTCATCAGAGGAGTCAAACCATTGTCGTCTCCAGCATTAATATCAGCACCATGTTTGATCAGTAATTTCAACATTTCTATGTTATCCGACGAAGCAGCGATACCCATTGGCGAGTCGCTATTCTTTCCGTTATTGCCACTTCTTATGTGAACATCAGCGCCATGGGTGATAAGAAATTCAGCAATCTCATATTCATCTAGATTCACAGCAAATTCCAGAGGTGTAAATTCATCAAATAGAAAACAAGGGTTAACGTTATTATCATTAAGCCTATCACTGTTGGTCCCAAATTTGCCTTTTACACAGATAATCTGATTGATATCAGCACCAGCTGTCACTAATTTTTTCACGTACTTCAAGTGGTTCAAACTTATAGCCAATAAAATTACCGGTGCTAAATATTCTGTCTCCAGCTTCGTGTCGGCATTGTTCTCCAGGAGGAAATCTACGAAATTATCGTCGTTTAGATAAAGAGTCAAATGAAGAATACTATATTCGTAATATTTATGGGGTCCGGGTAGCGGTACCAATTTTGAATAAAAAATTTTAATTCGATCTCTCTCATCTATTGTTACCACCGTGTTAACGGATAACTCTTTTGACATTATTTTATCACGAACTTGTTCGTAGCTCAAGCCATCAAAGATTTCCAAGTCTTTTATTCTTTCTCTGATATGATACATAACTTTTATTATTTTTACAACAAAAAATGATCAGTTGATTGTTAAAATTAACTAAATATTATAGGTTATATTTCACTTTAGATTTTTTTACAACTTTCACTCACAGTAGTAGTAGTAGTAGTAGTAGTAGTAGTAGTAGTAGTAGACCTCGAAAAAGTTGGCTTGGAACTATAACCACTCAGATTAATTGATAAGTGCTTTTAATTGCTCACAAAATGCTCAATTCAAATTCACAATTTCTCTCCCTATCAATTAATTATTTGGAAGTCCTCTTCAAAAAACACTTGGAGCAACTTTTTTATATTTACACAAGATGGCGATGTGTGTTTACGACTCGTTATTCACCGCTTTCTTTGGAAAAAATTTTGTTCTGCGCATATAATTTTGGCGGGAAATTTTAAAAACTAAAAAAAAATTTTTATATTTTCTAAATACTTTTTTTATTTGTAAAGTAAAAGCCCCAATTATTGACAGGGGTCTAAATATTGACACCCTAAATTATTTTTAAATATATTTAATTATCTGTAATAAGAATAACAATCATATAAATTTTTCTTAAATTCTAATTAATTAAAAAATTGAAAAAAATTACTATTCAAAATATTAAATATTAATTATTAAAATAAAAATGAAGAGCACGAGATCAAACCTTACGAACGTTGATTTTCTTAACTACTTTGATTAGAAAAGCATTTTTTTTAAATGCCGAGTTTAAATTAATTTCTTCATCTAATTATGTTATCTTTTATTTTTTAATTAACAATATATGAAAAATTTATAAAATTGAATAATCGAAATTAATTGTTTCCTTTATAATATTTAAATAATGGGTGTCAATAACTAGTTGATAATTTTTAAATTGAATCTCATATTGACAGCTATTCGACAGCGCTACGACGCCTTTTTTTTACTTTGACCTAAAAAATTAACTGTAAGAGTTTGAACTCTTCTGATTCAATAAATTATTTTTAAATTAATTTTTATATTTTTAAAAGTAATTAATCATTTATGAAAATTATTATTATTAATAAACTTTAATAATATTGATTATTTAATAATAAGTTTCGATAAATAAGAATAAGCAGATGATTCGACGCATGCGCATTATAGGTGTCAATAATTGGGGCTAAGGTATGTCAATAATTAGATCAATCAGTTTTTTAACCTGTCAATCAGTGTATCCGGATACTCTATTTAATTATTTAAAATTAATTAGCAAATATCAGTGATTATCATTTTAAAAAAAGAAATTGATTAGTAAAAATATTACTTGAGACATTACCACAAACAAAATTCAACGATATTGATATTTGATTGCTTAAAAAAAATTAAATCATAATTTTGTCTCTTATAGTGTCAATAATTAGGACTTTCACCTTACTGAAAATTTTCAAAATTTCCCTAAAATTTTGAAAATTAAAAAGAATATTTTTTTACAATGAATTTTAACATTTTAATTTTTAAATTATATAAAAAAAAAAAATTAATGACACTATTACCAAAAATTATTATTTATTACCACTAATATTTATTACAATACAATTTTTTTACAATTAAAAATGTATAAAATTTATGTATTTATAATTTCTTTTTACTTATTTGTCACTTACGATAATAATCAATTTATAAACTCTTACAATTTAATGAGATGTTTATTATTTTATTTAAATAAAAAAATTCATTTACGTTAATAATAATATTAATATTAATAATAATAATTAAATATAATTACTTACTAATAAAGTAATATCAATAAATTTGTTAATTAAATTTGTTCATAATTGAGTTAAATAAAAAAATTTTTTAAAAAATCGACGCTACTTAATCAAGTGTCATAAAATCACTGACACAAAATGGTCCAAAAAATTCACCGTAATTTTGTAAAAAATAAATTTCTAGATTTAAGAATATAATTACAATTTCAATTAATTAATTATTTGACTTAAATAATCAAAAAGATTCAATTTAATTTGATCAATTAAGAAGGCCGTGGGTGATAAATACTTGGGGTATTTAAAAAATACGCTTAAATATAAGTGATCTAACACGTAAACAGTAATTTTCCCAGGCCGCGCCGTACCGCTTATGACATCGCGAGTTGTCGCGAAGCGCGCGATGGGCGAGGACCAGGGTGCAGCATAGTGCCGACCAGTAAAGTACGAGGTCATTGTTCAGGGTTACCAGGACCATGGCCCAGTTCATAAGAATGTCTCCAAGGTAATTTGGATGTCTGATTAGTCCCCAGAAGCCGGAGATTATTATTTTCTTTCCTTTGTTGGTTGATAATGTTTCTAGTCCTGAAACATGTTTAATAATAAATTATTAGTAAGACAATAAAAAAAATTTTGTTTTTACGATAGTCATATGATAAAATCGGTTCTTTTAGTGAGATTTAGTGTCATTGCAAAGGAATTTGTCCCTTTTCAAGATTTTATATCATTCTCACCGATAGTCAATTTATTATAATAAGTATTTAAGCTGCATTCGAAAATGCTCTATTTCCAGATACATAATTAGGAAATTACATGTATCTTGTAAAGTATTGACATTTTTAAAGATATAAGCTCATCATGATATTACACTTATTGAGACCTTTTATTTGAGTACCCACATAAATTTTTCATATATTTATATATTTCACAAATACCATATATATAAAATATATAAAAAAAATGTCATGTGGGTACTTAAATGAAAGGTCTCAATGAGAATAACATGGGAATGAGCTTATATCTTTAAAAATGTCAATAATTAAGAAATGACCTGGTATCTTGTGAAATATTGACATTTTTAAAGATATAAACTCACCCCGACATTTCACTCATCGAGACCTTTCTTTTGAGTACCCACATCAATTTTTCATATATTTTATATATTTATATATATTATATATATATATGTATATATGAAAAATATATATCAAAATGCATGTAGGTACTCAAATGAAAGCTTTTGATGAGTGTAACATCGGGATGAGCTTATATCTTTAAAAAACGTCAATAGTTAAGAAAGTCCAGCGCAATTTAACAAAAGTCATTTATGATTAGATTAAATGAGATGAGAGAGTAAAGAAAATTTTTGACGAGCATATTATTTTTAAATCGTTAAAAAAATATCAAACTCAATTTACGATAAAGATGTATCCGTTAAAAAATCTTTCTTAGTCTCTTAATTATAGAAATTAATTTTTGATATACTTACGTAATGATTCTTGGGAAAAAGGATTTCTACGGAAATTGTCTTTTTGTAAATTACTGAAGCGGTAGATGAAGTACCCAACGAAAAATACAAATATCAAAAATCCAAGCATCCAAGGAGAGGTGTTGTTTCTAAAATAAAAAAAAAATAAAATTATTCAAGTATATTTAAACTAATAATTAAAACTTAATTTTCAAGTTATAAATTAAGGATCCTAAAATCCTAAAAAAAATATTTTACTCCAAAGAATTATTAAAATAATAAATTTTCTGTGTTCATATTTAGATATATGTACATTACAAAAATAGAATTGAAAAAAATAAATTTTTTTTTTTTTCAATTCCAAGTGCGTAATTTAAAATTTGTATAGAAAAATACTTACACTTCCTGCGCTAATAAATATCTTGGTCCCAAAGTAATCAAAAATGGATACATCAATCCAGCAACGCAGGTCATATACCCAGTACCTTCATAAAGAACTCTGAAGCTGGTCAAAGTTGCGTCTTCAAAGTAGAAATAATCAAGACAGTAAAAAACTTGCATCAAGCCAACAGTCATGATCGTCGGGTTCAAGTCCAAGAAAGCTTTCAAAGCCGCGAGGTCTGTGAAATTGCTAAGCCCACCAAAGTCAACATCTTCAGAGCTCTTCATCATCACCGCAATGATGATCACCAAGGTTCCAATGATACTAACGCGACTCAAAATCATTTTGATGTCCAGTTTGAGCACCCGCGGGTTGATCTCACGGCCTTGCCAGAAATCGTAGATGAAATTATTAGTGGACCCGTAGATGTTAGCAGTGGACACAGGAATCCTTCCGCCCTTGATGAAGAGGGCTATTGATAAAATCGTACCCGTGATCCAGGACAGGACTGAGAACCGGAGCAGATTGTCTATGATGAAGTTCGTAACGTCAATCCCGAAGATCTCCGCGGTTTTGTAAGACACCAGGACCAGCAACAGCGTGTAAGCTCCGTTCAATCTGTACTGCAGCTTTCCGCTCCGCATCTGCATCCCGTCAACCACTCTTCCCAAGGGCAGAAGCGACGTCAAAGCTACGACCAGCAGAAAACTGATGTAGGCTAGTGCAGAGGACAAGTTGAAGTAACTCTGCAGCTTGGTTGAGAATTTTAAATCCGGCAGCTGGCATTTGTTGTTTTGGCAACTGATTTGGGGGAGGATTATCGCGCAAGGCAGCAAAATTGTCAGGCAGGTTGCTCCAATCCAGCCAAGCCATTCCTGGGGTTTGCTTACAAGCTCGATTTTGAGGGATTTTTCTTGCTCTTTTTCTTTCTTTTTTGTCTTTTCGGTTGTTGATGAGTCGGGGAGAACTTCTTCTTCGTAATATAATTTTTGAATGTCCTGTAATTATTATTAATATTAATATTTAATATTCAATTTAAAAATTTTTAATTCTAAATGAGTGAAGTGTGAAACTGTAATCTTTCATATTAAATTAAATATAAAGGGCAATTTAAATTTTTAATCCTCAATTTCAAGTTTAAAAAATAAAACTATAACTAAAACTCTATTATATAAACTGTGCAATTGAAAACTAAAAGACCTAAGACTACTATTATTATAATACTATATTATATTATTCTTTTACTACTACTTTATTATTATTATTATTATTATTATTATTATTATTATTATTATTATAGCACCTTTGAGTGCACCTGTACTATTATTATTTTTGTATCCTTATGGTCGTCAAGGGACATAGTTCTAAGATCAATTAAATAAAGCATTACATTATTATTATTATTATTATTATTTTAATATTTATACCAGATGTACAGTCTGTTCTATAAACTTTGTTAAATTTTTGTTTATATAAAAAAACTTCAGATAATTATCAAGAACTATCAATAATAAATAATATTTGTTTACATGCCCTGTAATTTTATTTTTAAATCATTTTTTTTTTTTAATTCAAAAATACATACTTAGAAATTAAAGTTTAAATTAATTAAAAAAAATTTTTTTTTCATCATTAATTTGAAATTAATTTCTAATTTTTTTTTTTTATTAATTTTAAATTGAATTTTAATTTTAAAAAAAATTTAATTTTAAACCAATTTTTTTTTACTGACCTCTGAATTATAATAACTATAATAATTTATAATGATCTTAATATGTTGCATAACTTAGATTTAATTACTTTAAGCAACTTATTATTAATTTAATAAATCAAAATGTACTTGATTTATTTAATTTTGGTTTATATGTTTGAACGATTAAGAAAAAATACTTACAGGCTCACGTTGAACGGAAAATCCACGTTCTTTAGCATCAGACAGGTAGTCGTACATGATTGTTTTACGTTCAACAGGTAATGACACTGCACGATCGATGCCTCGTAGGCTTACTGAAGAATCTTTCAACATATTATTGAGGATTCTAACCGATCGTCTTGTTGCTGTTGGAGCTGACTGATCTTTCAGTCGAGATTGCAGGGGTATCAACTCAGCTACATCGTCAGATTCGCTCATTGTACTTTGAGAGTCTGTTTTAAAACCTATTTTTTTTTTTTTTAAATAAGCCATTAGTTAATGAAGATGATATTTATTTTAATATTACTTAAAAATATTTTTATAAAAATTATTCATCAAATTTTCCATAAATACACAACTAAATTTTTAAATAACTCCAGAATTTTAAATAAACAAAAAATTATTTAATTAGGACTACTATTATCATCCATAATTTATAAACAATAATGAAAATTATCAGGAACTTGGACCATTAACACCGAGTTATTTTTTATGGTCCAAGTTCCTGAATATTTTCATTATTATTTAATTAGATTCCAATTTTGGAGTTATTTAAAAAATTATTATTTTAATTTTTGATAAAAATTCACTTTAAAATTTCTTAATTTATTAAAAATAAATTTTTATAAAAATTCACTTCTAATAAATTTATTCTAAAAATTTATAATTTTTCCATAAATACACAACTAAATTTAAAAAAACTCCAAAATTTTGAATAAAAAAAAAATTATTTAATTAGATTCTAATTTTGGAGTTATTTAAAAAATTAATAATAAAATTTTTGATAAAAAATTACTTTAAAATTTCTACAATTTATTTATTAAAAATAAATTTTTATAAAAATTAACTATAAAATTTTTATAAAACTTAATTTTTAATAAATTTAATCTAATAAAAATTTTTAAATCACTCCAAAAAAAACTAAATCAACATTGCAATATTTACTCAATTGTTAAACCGCTCAACTAAAAATTGCCCAACAAAAAACGCTGAACAAACAACCTACTTTTTTCGTCATCTGACTGCTTGGAAGTAATCTTAATAAGGCGCTTAGGTCTTCCAGGTGATCTACCAGGCGACCTGCGACCCGGAGATCTTCTACTAGGAGACCTCCTGCTCGGCGATTTGCGCCCTGGAGATTTTCTCAGCGGACTCTTGTACAATTTTCCTTTGATAGTTCTCGCCGTGCTCCTCGACGCTCTTTCAGGCTAACAAAATTTCCAAAATTAAAAAACAAATAAATTAAAAAAAAAAAAATATTTAAATAATAAAATAAAATTACAATAACAAAAAATTAATAATAAAAAATAAAATATTTAAATAAATTACCTGGATATTATTTTCAAGTACAGTATGCTCTTTACCGCCCTCAAATTGTATAACATACTTATCCCCCCTGGCCATTAAAATTTTTCCCTTTTGAAATTCGTCAATATTTGGTGGCTTTGCCAGTACTTGCTCTCCCGCCATGAACTTCATTTTTGTTTATTTATACTGCAATTAAAAAAACAAATAAAAAATATTTTATAAAAATTCCTCACAATATTTACTAATAAAAAAAATAAATAAATAATTTATAATTCACAATTTTTAACAAAATAAAATTTCTAGCCGCCCGAATTTAAAAACTGTAAACAACAATTACAATTAGCATATTTATATATTTACACTTGTATATATATTAATTTAAAGATTTAATGAGTACTTACATATTGCAATGAGTAAGAAATATTTAATTTGTTTTTTTGGCGTGTAAACGACTCGAGCTTGAGGTTATAATTAAAAGCTGTATTTTTTTTGCGCTCTTGCCTTTCGCTACTCTATAGCTTACCACTCACCACTCTTCACTTCACTGTAAACCTGCACTTGTATTTATGTGTGAGTAGTGTCTTATCTACATGTATATATATATATATATATATATTTATATACTTATATATATGTACAGCGCATAGCACGGACGCTTGTAATTTTTTCAAGCAAGTGTTTGTAAAATAAACGCTCCGAAACCACGCGAGTGCGCGTCACTACATTAATGGCGTCTGTCTTCACTTTGTGTACTTAAAATGGCGGCAATTATCTTGATTTTCTCGACCAATCAGAATCGCCCAAAATCAGTAGCTTAAAAGTGAGCATAGAGGGCGCTTGATTTCCGTTTGATTTAAAATTATGAAAATTTATGAAAGTATTTTAATCGGAGATTTATTTTTTTATTTATTGGAATAAATAAATAATTAGTGTAATTAATTTTTTATTATTATTATTATTAATTTAAGAAATTTTTTAAATTGTTATGATTAACTATTTAATTAAGTGTTTTTTATTTGTGATATAATGGAAGAAGATTTGAAGAAAATTGGAAAAAATTTTGTGAGTTAATTTGTGAGGTTAAAATTTTGGATTTAGTGACTTATTGATTTTTTTCAGGATGTCATTGAAGATAATATTGAAAAAGCGAAAAATAATATTGAAATTTTTCTTGAAGATCTTCCGAAATTAATTCTCGACCCGGTGTTGAATGAACATATTGACACTTTGAGATTGAGGTTTTATCAGATGGTTCAAACTAATAATTCATTAATTGACACTTTTCTTCAGAGATTAAAAGGTAAGTTAATGAAAATTAATTGAGCAGATATTTAATAATTTAATATAATACTAAAGTTGGCCGACGTTTTTGATTTTTTTTTTATTTATTAGATTAAGACAAAAAATATTTTTTTTAAATTCTACTTAAGATTTTATGATATTAAAGCTAGCTGTCACTTGACCATTTTTTAATTATATTTAACAAAAAAATTTGTTCCGAAATTTTTTTTTTAAAACTGCATTTTTAATTTATTAAATTTTTCAAATGTCAATTTTTTTTCTCATTTTTTTATCCACTAATTTATTTATCATAAAAATTCTTTAAAATATTAAATATCTGCTAAATTATAATTTAATGACATTGAAGTTAGCTGTCACTTAATTATATTTAACGAATAAATTAATTCTAAAAAATTATTTTTAAAAAATAAAAATAAAAATTAGAAAAAATTTTCAAGTTACTGCTGAAATTAATATGGTAATTAAATGAAGATAAAAATAAAAATTGAAATAAGTAGCTGACATCTGAAAATTTTTATCAATTTTTTGACATGTAAAAAATTTGAAATGTAATTTTTAAAAAATATTTTTTACTTATAATTTTCATTGATTCAAAAAAAATAAAAATTCTCAAATTTCTGCATTTTAATATCATATGATTTAATTAAATTTAGTTATTTATCAATCTCAATTTTGTTTTACATAATAATATTTTATCAATCAAAAAGTTGAATTTTATTATATTTTATTTTTATTTATAGTTTTATTATATTTATTTGAAAAGAAACGCCCTCGGCAATTTACAACAATATATTAAATTTTTATGTGTAAAATATTTAGTTAATATTTATATACAATAAATAACATCTGTAAAGAGAAGATAGATTTAAGATTTAAGAGATTTGAGAGAAAACAAAAACAAAAAAAAAAAAATTTTAATAATTGATAATTTATAATCACTATTTGTACACCTGGAATGCTATTTTAGAACCATCCTTTTTGCTTCATTTTTTATCTTATCTGCTGGTCCTCCAAAATGTCAGTATCAACCGTATATATAAGCTTAATATTTTTAAGAAGAAAACACAAATAAGTAGGATAAAAATGGTTCTTTAAAACTTCTAAGTTCATTTTTTTATATTATTCCTGAAATAAATAAATTATTTTAAAATTTTCGAAAAATTATCGGAAATCTGCTACAATTTGTTAAAAAATTTTTTTTATAAAATTATTTGTTTTATAAATAATTAATGAAACAATTGTTTTAATTTTAATCGTGCGTTTTGAATAGAAACTGAAGATAAGCTTGCAAAAATGGAAGCAAGCTACGGAGACCTGTTCTTGAAGCATCAAAAAGAGCAGCAAACAATAGCGCAATTTGAAGAAGAAGTAACTAAGCTGGTGGCGCAGACTGACGAGCAGAGTAAATATTGCACTGAGCTCGGGGCTACTGCATTTTCTTTGCTATGGACGACCTCCAAGTATCCGCAGAATCTTAATTGCTGGTTGACTGACGTATGTATGCGTGTAATCTGATGTAACTACCCGGAAAAAATCCATAATTTTAATTTACAGCAAAGTCAAGGACAACAAAAATAAAACTTTAAACTTGTTAAAATTTAATTATCGTAAAATTTATTACTTCTAAATCGAGGAAAAAAATTTCTTCTAAAGAAAATTGCACAAGAAATAAATTTAATGAAAATTAAGTTTACCAACGTTTCAAAATTTTTGATCGAAAAAATTTCAATTAAAAAATTAAAAAAAAAAATTTCACATGTAAAAAACTTGAAAAACTATGTGCAATTTTTTAGAAATATCTTTTTAAGTTGAATTTAATTAATAAAAAAAATCAAAAATTTTTAGACGTCTGTTAACTACAGTGTCTTTAAATTTATAGGAAATTTTCAATAATTTTATTTTTTATCTGAAGAAATCAAAATTGTCCTCAGTAATTTTCTTCTTAAAAAAAATTTTTCTAGATTTAGGAAAAAAAAAATTTGGATAAAAGTTTTCAAATTTTTTCAAAAATTACAAGAATGATCCCTTAATTTATTCGTTAATTAAAATTAAATATCTGCAATATTTATGAAAATTAAGTTAGCCGACATTTAAAAATTTTTAGAATTTTTTTTTATTGAAAAAATGATTACGAAAAAATAAAAAAAAAAAATTTCACTTGTAAAAAACTTTAAAAACTGTAAGTGTAATTTTTTTAAAATATTTTTTTGTTCTAATTTAATTATTAAAAAAAAATCAAAACATTGAAAACGTCGGCTAACTTTAGTATCATCAATATTTCTGAAATTACTTTTTTTTTTTTAATTAATTATGAATAAAAAGAAAAAAAAAATTATTCATTAAAAAACATGACTTAGAATAAATTTAATTTAATAAAAAAAAATTATTATCATTTTTAAAATAAATTATTAATTTCAGAGACAAGACAAAGTTGCAAAAGCAATATCAATAGCAAACACAACATTCTCATCATACATCGAAACATTTTCTCCGAATTACCCACCATTAAAAAACGACATTACCGAATTCGCAATGTCGGTCCTTGGATTAATCGCTAATTTGACGTCAATTGGAGAAGGCCGGCAATTTCTCTTAAAATTATCCGACGGTAGAGATTTAATTAACCAGCTGATCCAAGCAATTCCATCATTAGTCGGCGAAATCGGGCAATCTGTAGTCCAGTAAGTATTAATTAATCTCCAATAGAGATTATAATAATTAATAATTTAACTTAAGGTTGATTCTGCTGATCCTGTACAACGTGAGTCTAAACAGGGAAGGACTAGCTTATCTACTAGAGTTGAAGGTCTACGAGAACGTTGTAAAGTTTTTTGATGACTGCTTCCCTCAAGAAGTCAGAGAAAAAGCTCTGAGGATTATTCAGTCGCTAACTTATGAACTTCTTAATTATCGCGTACTTGAAAGCCTCGTCAAGACTCTTCCTATGGGTAAATTGTCTGACTTGGCTGCGGGTACTGACAATCTTGCTGTAATTGCACAAAGTATTGTTATTAATATTAATAATAGTCGGGCTGCTGGTGATACTTGTAGTTATGTTTCTTCTTCGTAAGTTTTTTATTTTTTTAATTGATTAAAAATTTTTAAATTCAATAAAAAATTATTTTATAAATTAATAAAAGTAGTTTAAAATTGCTTTATATAGCAATGAAATATATTATTAAGAGAATAAAGAAGTTTTATATTATTTTCATTAATAGTTAATTTGTTATAAGTATTCAGATACCATTAGAAAATATCTCTAGATACATAATTAAGAAATTACCTTTTATCTCGTAAAATATTGACATTTTTAAAGATATAAGCTCATCCCGATGTTACACTCATCGAGGACTTTTATTTGAGTACCCATATCAATTTTTTATATATTTTATATATTTATATATATCATATATATGTATGCATGAAAAATATATAAAAAATTGATGTGGGTACTCAAATGAAAGGTCTCGATGAGTGTAACATCGGAATGAGCTTACATCTTTAAAAATGTCAATAATTAAGAAATGACCTTGTACCTCGTGAAATATTGACATTTTTAAAGATATAAGCTCATCCCGATGTTACATTCATCAAGACCTTTCATTTGAGTACCCACATCAATTTTTCATATATTTTATATATTTATATATATGTGAATATATGAAAAATATATAAAAATGCATAACATCGGAATGAGCTTATATCTTTAAAAACGTCAATAGTTAAAAAAGTACAGTGCAATTTAACAAAAGTCATTATTTAATAAATCACAATTTTATTCATTTATAGTTCACAAGTCACTGCAGTCACATAGTGACTGCAAGGTTGCTAGTATTTAGTGTAAAAAAATGTTAATTAATTAGAATTGTTTGTGAAAAAAAAGGTCGTTAGCTTTTACGTAAGCTAAATAGTTGTCCTAGAGCTTAAATTCTATAACAGTAAATATGTAAATTTAATGCACCATTATTTTTCAAGGACTGGCCTAGGTCGAATAAAATCAGGTCATTTTTACGCAGTCGCTAGACTAAGTAATCTAAAATTTATATAATTTTTTCTAAGTCATAAGTAGAAAAATTTATATAACATTTTTTAATGAATAAATTTTTTTAAACTTTATATAGTAAATTAAATTAAAAAAAAAAATAAATTTTAGAAACATTGCAGATATTTAATTTTAATTAAAGAATAGATTAAGGGATGATTTTGGTTTGTAACTTTTGAAAAAATTTGAGAAATTTCATCCAAAATTGTTTTTTCCTAATTCTAGAAAAATTTTTCTCAAGAAGAAAATTACTAAAGACAATTTTGATTTTAGATAAAAAATAAAATTGAAATTTTCCAATAAATTTATTTCTTGTAATTTTCTTCAGAAGAAATTTTTTCTCTCAGTTTAGAAGTAACAAATTTTTCGAAGATTAAATTTTAAAGTTCTCTACGTCTTGTATAATTTGCTCTAAATTATTGGTCTTTTTAAGTCTCTTGCTGGTATTATTTTTTGAATAAAATTTACGCAAGTAGATCATAAAAATTATTAAAGGATCATTCTGGTTTGTAACTTTTGAAAAAAAAAATTTTTTTTTTACATTTTTCGAAAGTATATCTAAAAGTATTGTGTTTAAATTTTTAAGTGATCGGACCACTGTAACTATATTATTTTACGAGGTTTATGTGGATGTTCGAGTGGAAGAAAATACAATTTTTGAAAAGGCTGGAGGAATTTTGTATAGTACCGGCATCGCTGGCTGACTTTAGGTAAGATTTTTTTTTAATTAAAAAAACTTTAAACGCGTTTATCTCAGAACTATGTTTTTCTGGTTTACGTAGATGATATCTCCGGAACCACTGACCCGATCTTAATGAAATTTAAACCACATATTCTACATAGCAGTAGCTATTGCATCAGCTCCAACCAAATCAAAATTTTCATTTTTCTATTTTTTTAGGACTACAAAACTGTGAAGAAAAGCCTCAATTTTCAGTTTTTTTTTTTAAATCTCTGTTATTTATCAATAAATATTAATCTCCTTCGCTGATGCGAGCTACTTATATATTGAAGGTAAATAATTTTGGTTTTAGTGTTTTAGATGAGCCGCTATCAAGTTATCACGTACGTGAGCTTTATACCAACGTTTTGTCAAAGCTCCGTTCACCCGTTGTTTATTCATATAAAAAATATCTAAAAAATAAAGCTAGATATTTTCAGTGTTATTCAAGAGTGCGTGTTGAGCTGGATAAATTTTATATCAATATCTATAATAGTTTCTGTGTAAAAAAATAATGAATATTTCCTTTTTTTCAGCGCTGGAACCAGAATGATCCCTCAACTATAAAAAATCAAGCTTAAAAAAAAACTTGTATGTACCTAAGATAGAATTGTGCATTAAAAATGTAACATAATAAAGCAAAGTCTAGACTTGATAGCAGACTGCAGACAAGCATATGATGAGCATTTATTGGACAAGAATAACAACAATCTGGGGTATCGCACATATAAAACCAGGTATCGATCTGGTGTTCGTGTGGACTGGCAACCAGCAACCAGCAACCAGGGTTGAGCTGACACGACGGGCGTGTGCTCACCAGGCGCCAGTTCACCAATCAATGAAACACAAAAGCTCGATCGCGATCCAAGAATTTACTCAGCTAAAACTTAAATTTTTTTTTAGCCTTTTTTTCATCAAAGTAAAATAAATTCTCGCTTAATTTATTTTTTTATATTTGTAAATTTGTTTTAAAAATTATAAATAATTTTTTTTTTTCTTACCAGATCCGCTTGCATTGCATGGTACATAATAATTGCGTGGATCTAAAGCGGATGAGGAGATAAAAAGCTGGAAAGATTTTCAGCAGCATCCAAGATTAAAGATAAATTGCGCGTGCTCAGTAGCAGGCGATGGTGAACCGCGCAAATGCTGTTATGTGATCTGTGCTAAATATCCACGATGGTGGAGGTGGAGACTGGGTCGCTGACGATGGTAACTGCTCCGATGGGCTGTAAAGCTCCGTTGGACGCCAGGAAGGAACAGAAGGCGACGGCCGGCGTCGGTTTATTGATCCCGGGGCGCTGCGGCGCTACCCAACCGCGGGATCAGCTGCCCGATTGTCATTTATAATAACGCATCCATTTAGGACATTATACTTTGTTGTTTATAATTGTTGTAATTTTCTGTTTCATTCTGATTAGTATTGTTCATCTTGTTAATTGTCGAGGTATTGCTACAGGAGCCGAGGCTTAGTGAGTGGTGATTGTTCGCGGGTGCTTTTCTGACAGACGCGAGTTGACAGTGGTCAGTTATTGTTCAGTTTTTTTAAAAAAAAAAACGCCTCTACTTTTTGATGGTAATTTTTTTTTGCTGCCCAAAATCTGAAAAGTAGGTTTAATTTTTTTTAATTAGTTTTTTTTTGGAAAATTATTTTTTGTGATAGTTTATTTAATTATAATTAATGGAAATTTTGTGATACTGAGCATTTTTAAATACATAAATTTTTATAAAAAATTTCAATTTTATAAGCTCTAAAAAATTTTTAATTCAATTTTTTAGAATTATTTTTTTTTTTTATGAACAATAAAATTGTTGATTTCAGTGTCATAAAATTTTTCTAATGTCTGAATTTCTGTCACTTTTTTTTTTTACAAATTAAGATTTTTAGGATGAAATTTGGGTAGTTTTTTAGATTTGAATTTTCATAATTTAATAAAATTTTTTTTTTTTAAATTATGCAGTATAAATTTTTTTTTCATTAAATTTGTTTACTTTAGAAGTTTAAAAGTGTACACTTGTCTTGTTTTTTATTGAACTTTTATTTTCAAATAACTAAAAATCAAAAAAAAATTTTTTCAAGTGTTGTGATAAAATTTAAATATTTTTGAAATTTTTTTAATGATTTAGAAATGATAAAAGAATTTTTGGCAATTATTTACAAATGGGCTCAACCCTATTTTGGGCTATAACTAGGTGAAAAATTCACATTTTCAATTTTTTTTATTCTGCTTGTCTTTATATATTTTTTTTAAGTTAAAGTACATAAAAAAACAAACAATTAAAATTTGTTAAAATTGTGATACCTAATCAACTTTTTTCTTAAATTGTTCATTTTTTTATATATTTTCCAAAAAAAATATATCAATAAAATCAAATAGAAATTTCGTTAAAAAAAATGAAAATTCTAAAGGTTACCCCACTTGTAAATATTTACCGAATTTTTTAAAAATAACTTTAGAAAATTAGTTTATTTTTCAAGAAAAATAAAATTGTCTATTAATTTCAGTGTCATAAAATTTTTAATGTCTGATTTTTTGTCAATTTTTTATTTTTCATAAATTAAGATTTTTAGGATCAAACTTGGGTAATTTTTTCGATTTGAAATTTGAAAATTTAATTAAAAAAATTTTTTTTTAATTATGCAATATAAATTTTTTTTTTATTTAATTTGTTTACTTTTAAAGTCTAAAAATGTGTACTTGTTTTGATTTTTATTGGCCACTTTTTTAAATAACTAAAAATAAAAAAAAAAATTTTTTTAAGTGTCATGATAAAATTTAAATATTTAAAAGATTTTTTATTTTAAAAAATTAAAAAATTATCATTTAAAAAATTACCTTGTAATTTTACAAATTTTTTTTTTTTTTATCAAAATTAAAAATATTTCATTTTATTGTTTTAAAATTTTAAAATTTTAAGTGAGAAAAAATAAATAAATTTATTTTTTTATTTCAGATCCTGGCTCGAAAAAAAACCAAGGCTGTCCTAGTTAGAAAAAGACTACGTACACTAAAAAGTTCGATATTTAGATCAACTTGAAGTAGCACGCGATTAAGGATCAATTGTTACAAGTGAATCGCCCTAGTTTAGCAGCTTGTTATTATTAAATAAATAAATAATAAAGTAGTAATAGTAAATTTGACTAATGAGAGTCGATTGCACAAAAAAAGAGACCAGACGGGTCTTGGGAATTTCGAAGCGACGAGGGTCCACTGATGTAACTGTTAAATGTCCTCGAGTTTATTCCGGGCGTGACATTGTTAATAAACAACTAAACTTTAACAAAAGTAAAAAAACACGAGGAAGAATAATTATTTTTATCGAGAGAGAAGTTTATTGAATTTTTTGATAACTGCGCCTGGAGGCGCCTAAAATGGGCCCCACCAGCAGCAGAGAGGACCAGTATGAGGAGCCAGTTGGAGATGACGAAGGCCTACAGATCAATCCCCGTCCTATATCTACCGCTGTAAGTTATTTTTATTGTTATTGTGCATAATTGACAAGTCGACTGGGATAACGATGATATCTAATAATTGACCAGACAATTTGTTTAGAGTATTTTTTACAAGCGTTGATAATATGAGTAATTATGTGTCTGGTTGAGTCATCGTTTATTTTTATTTATAGTCATTATTATTATTATTATTATTATTATTATTATTATTATAAATTAAAGTTGATAGTTAAATGAGGCTGTGAAAATTTTTTATTTTAAAAATTCATGTTAATTAAGGGTTAGAGAGATACAATCAAATTGATGACATTTTTTATAGAGAATTTTATTCTCTATAAAAAGGTTTCTTGTAATTTTTTTGTATCTTCAATATTTTAGCCAAAAACAGCAATCTGAACTTTTGAAAATTATGGATAAATTTTATAACTTCATTTTTCTAACTTTAAAGTTAAAATTTGAATTTTTTTTTTTTCAAAATTTTAATTTAAATTTTGAAAAAAAATGAGATAGGGTAAAATTAATAAGTATCTTTTTTGTAGAAAATTTTGTTTTATATAAAAAAGAATTCTTATTTTTTTTATTTTCAATATTTTAGCCAAAAACAGGATTTTGAACTTTTGGAAACTAGGGATAAGTTTTATAACTTGATTTTTGAAATTTTAATTAAAATTTTGGAAAAAAATAAGAGATAGGGCAAAATTGTTAAAGACCTTTTTTTGTAAAACATTTTATCCATTATAAATAAAGATTCTTATCATCTTTTTTAATTTCCAATATTTTAACTAAAAACAGCATTTTGAACTTTTAAAAACTATGGTAAAGTTCTAAAACTTCATTTTTGAAATTTAAATTTAAATTTTGGAGAAAAAAAGAGAGATAGGGAAAAATTAATAAGGACCTTTTTTTTTAAAGAATTTCATCCTATATAAAAAAGGATTCTTATCAATTTTGTATATTTTCAATATTTTAACCAAAAACAGCACTTTTTACTTTTGGAAACTTGGGATATAATTTATAGCTTTATTTTTGAACTTTAAGTTCAAATTTTGAGTTAACTTTACTTTAAATTCAAAATTATGAGAAAAGAAGAAAGATAAAAGATAAAAGTTAAAAGGTCTGATATGATTTTTTCATATTTTCAGTATTTCACTCAGAATGATTTTTATTAAATTATTAACAGAAAAAATATTAAAAGAAGAAATGTAAATTTACTGAAAAAACAATTTTAATAAAAAGTTTAAATAATTTTTATTCATAAACTTAAATTTTGTCTAAGATTATAGTAATAAACTTAATAGTTTTTTATCATCATTATGATTATTAATAAGTAAATTACTTTTTTTTAGATTAATTTTGTAAAGTACTCTGGGGAGCGAGTTACGGAAGTTTCTAGGAGAAAGGAATATTATATTATAAATGGTTTAGTAATGATTATGCATATAATATAATGGCTTATGCATATATAACATTTGTTTTTTATTATGTAAGCTGATTTTACGGTTTGTTTAATTTAAGTACATGATTACGAC